AAGAGAATCAAATAGCCCCTTTCTGCCCTTCTCTCATACCCCACATGGCACATGGACTGGGAGGGGCTGAGCCTGAGCTAACCTTGAGGGGCAGCCCAGACACAGTAGCCTGGGGAGACTGTCCCAGCTGGGGAGATACACAGTTCAGCGGGTGACAGAGTAGGCAGGAGACAACTCAGGACGGATCCTGTCCTCCTGTCCTCAGCACCAGGTCAGACCTGCAGAACCTTGGCCCAACTCCAGGGAGCCCTGTACTCACTGAGATTTGCTTTCAGGTGAAATGTGAGTCCAAGGCATCCTAAATTCTCCTGAGTTTGAGTTGATAGGAAATCATTTGAGTTGATAAGAAATCAGAAATGCAGAATTCCAAAATGGTGGCGGAGTGAACGGAAGCTACATAGACCGTCTCCCAGGACCAAACTGGAATTACAACTACAACACAGACAAATCGACGGGAAAAAGCAACAGAAAAGCAGCTTGCGAGGACCATATAACCAGGGACACTGACTCGATCCTGATAGGATTGTGGAGGCGTGAGAGGCGGGCTGGGAGCCCACAGACAGCAGCGGCCTTAGCTGTGAGCAGTGGTCTTAGCTGTGACCCTCGGGTTACACTCCCAGGCGGCCCCACAGCGCAGCCAGGACAGAGGCTGAAACAGCCACAGCCACTCACCTTGGGCTCCGGCAGAGGGACGGTGGACTGGATTGGAACTGTGTGGGGACCCTCAGGATTTGGAGGGCGCTCAGAGCTTTTGCTGAATTGCAGCCATGCAGGACGATGGCCATATTGCTCCTTCCCAGGGCTCTGGGGAGAGGCAGCAGCCCTCACTTGGACATTCAACCCCACCCCGTGGGCCATTGAAATGCTAATTGAGGCTCACTAACAACCAGCATCTGCCCCACCCTCAGGAAATCCCCTTATGCTGAGCACCTGAGGGAGTTTTTCATTCAACTAGCAACCCAAAACTCTTCAAGTAACCTGGACTGCTAGCCTCTAGGCAAAAAGCTAAAGGATAACAGTACCATTCCTGGGCTAGCAACTTTAACCAGGAAAGTAAGACTTGACAGTGGTGTTTAACATGGGTCCTCCCTCGCTCATCTAAACACAGGAGAGGGAGCCACAAACAGCAGAACACCAACACCCACAGGGAGAACTTGACAGGCTCCAAAGCCCACAGTGACAGCCAAAATGGTGAAACACAGAAACAGAAGCCAAATGAAAGAACAAGAGACCTCTACTGAAGATGAGATAAATATGGAGCAGTTAGCTAAGTTAACAGAGCTAGAATTCAGAGCCATGATCTTGAGGAAGCTCAACAGCATGAGTAAGGACATAGAGATGTTGTAAATCAACCAATTGGAAATTAAAAACCACGAAGAAGAAATCAAGAATGACATATCAGAAATAAAGAACACATTGGAAGGTCTAAACAACAGAGTAGAGGAAGCTGAGGACCGGATCAGTAAATTAGAAGACAGGGTAGAAAAAATCAACCAATCAGAAAACCAAAAGGAAAAAAACGATTTAAAAACAGGAAGACAGTTTAAAAGAACTGTGGGACAACTGGAAACGTAATAATATTTGCATCACCGAAGTCCCTGAAGAAAAAGAAAATGAGCAAGGGTTAGAGAAGATATTCGAAAAAATAGTGACAGAAAATTTCCCTAATTTGGTGAAGGAAGAAGGCATTCAAGTTCAAGAAGCACAGAGAGCCCCAAGTAAGAAGAACCCAAACAGGCCCACACCAAGACACATAGTAATAAAAATGCCAAAAATTAAAGATAAAGAGAGAATCCTAAAAGCAGCAAGAGATAAGCAACAGGTTACCTACAAAGGAAACCCCATAAGGCTATCAGCTGACACCAAAATCCTGAACAAAATACTAGTAAATCGGATCCAACAATACATCAAAAAAATTATTCACCATGACCAAGTGGGATTCAACCCAGGGATGCAAGGCTGGTACAATATTTGCAAATCAATAAATGTGATACACCACATAAACAAAATGAAGAATAAAAACCACATGATCATATCAATAGATGCTGAAAAAGCATTTGACAAAATACAGCATCCATTTCTGATAAAAACACTCAGCAATGTGGGAATAGAGGGATCATATCTCGACATAATAAAGGCCATGTACGAAAGACCTACAGCCAACATCATGCTCAATGGGCAGAAACTAAAAACATTTCCCTTAAGAACAGGAACAAGACAGGGATGCCCACTTTCACCACTCTTATTTAACATAGTACTGGAAGTCTTATCCATAGTAATCAGACATGAAGAAAAAATAAAAGGGATCCAAATTGGAAAGGAGAAAGCGAAAGTCATTATTTGCAGATGACATGATATTATACATAGAAAACCCTAAACACTCCATCAAAAATCTACTAGACTTAATAAATGAATTTGGCAAAGTAGCAGAATACAAAATTAACGTCAAGAAATCGAAGGCATTCTTATACACCAATGATGAAGTCACAGAAAGAGAAACTGAAAAAACAATACCATTTACCATCGTGGCAAAAAAATTAAGATAACTAGGAATAAACGTAACCAAAGAAGTAAAGGACCCATTTGCAGAAAACTACAGGACATTGAAAAAAGAAATAGAGGAAGATATAAAAAAGTGGAAGCACATACCTTGTTCATGGATTGGAAGAATTAACATAATTAAAATGTCCATAGTACCCAAAACAATCTATAGATTCAATGCAATCCCCATCAAAATACTAACGACATATTTCACAGAAATATGAACAAATACTTCAAAAGTTCATATGGCAGCAGAATTTTCACTGATACATCACCTAAGGCAACAGAAACAAAGGAGAAAATGAACACATGGGATTACATCAAACTAAAAAGCTTCTGCACATCAAAAGAAACAACCATCAAAATGGAAAGGCAACCCACTGTATGGGAGAACATCATTGCCAATGATACATGAGATAAGGGGTTAATTTCCAAAATATATAGAGTGCTCATACAACTCAATAAAAGGAAGATAAAGAACGCAATTAGAAAATGGGCAGGGGAGCTGAATAGACACCTCTCCAAACAGGACATACAAATGGCCAAGAGACATATGAAGAAATGCTCAACATCACTAAACATCAGAGAGATGCAAATTAAAACAGCAATGAGGTATCACCTCACACCTGTCAGAATGGCTGCCATCAACAAATGATCAAACAACAAGTGTTGGCGAGGGTGTGGAGAAAAGGGGACTCTAGTGCACTGCTGGTGAGAATGCAGACTGGTGCAGCTACTATGGAAAACAATATGGTGTTACCTCAAAAAGTTAAAAATTGAACTTCATTTCACCCAATGATCCCACTTCTAGGAATATACCCTAAGAAACCTGAAACACCAATCAGAAAGAATATATGTACCCCCATGTTCATAGCAACACTATTTACAATAGCTAAGATCTGGAAACAGCCCAAGTGTCCATCAGTAGACGAGTGAATGAAAAAGCTGTGGTACATATACACAATGGAGTACTATGCAGCTGTAAGAAAGAAAGATCTCTTATCCTTTGAGACAACATGGAGGGACCTGGAAAGTATTATCCTAAGTGAAACAAGCCAAGCAGAAAAAGACAAATACCACATGATCTCACTTATTTATGGAATATAAGGAACATAACAGTCTGAGGAATAGGGTAGACCCAGAAACATGGAAGTAGGGTACAGACTGACAACTCTCAGAAGAGGGGGTGGGGAGGGAAGAGATAAACCACAGAACTTATATGCATGTATGCATAACCAATGGACATGGACAACAAAGCCGGGGACGGGGCGGGGGGGGATGGGGAGGAGAGTGTCAATGGGGTAAAAAAGGAGAAACATCTGTAACAAAAATAAAATTAAAAAAAAAAAAAGAAATCAGAAATGCAATATCCTGTCATAAATCCAATATCCTCCAAGGGGAATGGGCCTTCGAAATGGACACTATTTTTCTTCCAGAGGAACGGACCACCTGTACATTTCCAGCCCGCAGACTCTGAGAGCTGGACACACGTGCGGGCGTGTGGGCACCGGGAACCCGCGCGCCTGGGCGAAGGCAGCCAGACTCCACCCTTAGGTGCCATTTGCTCTCTTGCAGGCCCAGCGCTGTTCTTTCCCAGCCCAGGAAGGGCTCCCTCGCCGTGTGCCGCGGCCCAGGGCTTGCCCACAGGTTTGCTTGTTTGTTTGTACCCCTGTCCTTTGTAGCTCCAGCCCCATTTCACAGCGTCCAGCAGCGGGATCCCTGGTACCTCCAGGCGTGGGGCTGGGCCACTTGCTACACACCCACGGTTTCTGTGAAGGCCATTTACACTGAATCCTTTCATCCCCGTCTCTCTCTCCTTCAGTCCACCTTCCTTCCTGCCTCTCCTCCTTTTCCCTTCTCCTCTCTAAATAGCCCTCAGTCTCCCTTCTTTCTCTCTTTCCCACCCTCCCTGTCTCCTCTCCTTTCTTTCATTTCTCTTCCCTCCCTCTCTCCTTTTCCCTTTGCCTCCCTCTCCTCCGACTCTCTCTCTCTAGTTTCTTCCAGTCCATGCTGACATTTTCTCATTGCTTTTTCTCTGTCTTTTGTTTTATTTTTTTCTCCCCCTTTTCATCTCTTAAATGGGCACGATTTCTCTCGTCCTCTGTCTCCCTGTTTTGTCTAATTTTATTTGCTTTCCTATGTTTATTCCTTATCTTCTCTCTCTCCTTCCCACCCTCTTTCTTTCCCCTTTTCTCTCTCTAACATCTCTCTCCATTGTCCTCATCCTCTCTCCTCTTCTCATCTCCCCCACCTTGCCCTTGTCTCTATCTCCCAGTTCTGTCTCTCCACTCTCTTTTCCTGCCTCTCTGTCTCTCACCCTCTGCGTCTCTCCCTTCTCGCTCCCTCCTGGGTAGTTCCAGAAACATACCCATATATGGCCTCCATGTCAAGGATCACAGATGATGACGTCGCATGAGGGCCAGGGCCCCGAGATGCTCTCTGAAGTGAAGTCCGAAGCTGATGCACCCTGGAGGAGCTGAATGCAGGACCACAGCTTCCTCCGTGCAATCTCCAAACAGGAAATCTGAGATTCATAACATCGTATAGTTTGGCTTGCCATCACTGGTCATGCGGTGGGCCCGAAATAAACTCCCTGCTTCAAAGGAGAGTGTTTCAGAGCCGCCAGGCAGAGCAGCCAGACGCTCAGGGCCAGGGCAGAAGGAACACTCAGGGAGCATGTGCTGAACTAAGACACTCTCAAGAAAATCCTTTTGTCCCCCCTGAACGGCCCCCTTGTGTCACAGCCTAACAGGTAATGCATGCTTTCAACTTTCTTATGCAGACCTTGAGCGAGTGTGGGGCTGGCTTATTCGGAACCTCTTCCAGTCAAACTACTTTCTGGTGTCTCCCTCTCTCTCCTGCTCTCTTGAGTTATAAAGCAGGCTGGTGACTTTCATTTCGAATCTGGGGGCCAGAGAAGCAGCCGTTTGCATGTGCTTATCCATTGTTGTGGAGGGACGCTCGCTCGGAATATCCCTGGGCTGTGCACTTCTAAAAATGGAAATGCAAAAGGAGTTATCAATGATGCTATTGTTGGTTCCTAGGCCTTGGGCAATATGTGTCAGAAAAATGACTTTCAGAAATGCTTTTATTTTGGGTGAATAGATATTTTCATGCATGGGGCATCGATTCTATGTGACATTGACGGAGTGCTTATGTGTCCCCAGTACTGTGGGGGCAATAACAACCAAGGTGCCAGGGCTGGACCTGCGATGGTCTGGGGTTTAGGAGAGGAAGCATAATTTGGAAACAAAAACCATGGCTCAATGTAAAGAATGAGAGATGTTATGTGGGAACAGAAATACAAGAATACTCGTGTGTGTGTGTGTGTGTGTGTGTGTGTGTGTGTGTAAGCATGAGGACACATTCGATGAGGAGATGGCCTTTGAAAGGATGGATGGGATGTCATCAGGCGGAGGGGCAGGGACAGTGACCTCCAGGGGGAGGGACAGCTCGGCAAAGGCAGACAAATCAAGGTGGGTCTGGGTGTCTGTAGACAGTGCAGTGTGGCTACAGCAAAGAACCATGAAGATCTGAAGTGGGGGGCTGGAGGCAGGTGCAGACCCGACCAGGTCAGTGAGAAGATGGGACATATTCTGATTGTTTCTGAGCAGAGGAGGAGCAGGCGAGCTCTGACTTCAGGAAGCCAAGGCATTGGGCTGGAATGAGGAGGCAGGGAGGCGGTGACTCAGGTCAGACAGGGGGGTGATGGAGACCTGAGGCTGGGCAGGAGCAGAGCCCCCTGTACAGGGCAGAAGAGCAGCCTCAGTGAAGGGAAAGCTCGGGCGGAGGTTGGGGCTTGAGGGGTTTCACAGGGGTCCCGGCAGAGCCAGCTGGGGCCAGCACACCAGCCACAGCCCTGACCTCTGCCATCGGAGGCCTGGGCAGAGCACAGTGAGGCAGTGGGGGCAGATGCTCCGATCACTTCCAAAACAGTTGGATGGGTTCTGACAGCTGGTGGCAGGCTGTTTACAGCACCCCCTCCTTGAGAAGCTGGCAGAGACCTCCACCTGGCACCATTCTGATTTCATAATCTGTTCTTGCACAAGCAGGCCAGGCCATGGGTGCCTTGTGGGGGAAGGGGCACCCTCTTCCTCCTCCCTGGGGTAAGGGCTCCATAGAATCCACCCCTGGTGACCTCACTACTGATGATAACACTGACAACATCCATGGGCATTCACTGAGCACTTGCTATGAGCCAGGCGCTGGGCCCGGTGCCTGGGCGACTTTCCTCATTGACTCTTCTCAAGGGCATCATGATTTAGAGGTGATGGTTACTCCCATTTTCCAGATGTGGAAACTGAGTTTCCAAGAGGCTTAAGGTCGTTTGTAAAGCCAGAGGGCTAGGAGGCGTTGAAGCTGGGAATCAAATCCCAGCCTCTTGGTCTGTTAGCCTCTAGGGCCCACGTTCAAAGTCATGGCCTCCTGCAGCCTCCAGGGGGCCACACGGCAGTAAAGAGACCGCTTCCTGGCACAGTCAGGGCATCATGAGATGCCTGCATATGCAGGACAGGCTAGATCCGAGAGAGCCTTCCCAAAGGAGACAAAAAATATCCTTCCATTTCTGAGCAGTGGGGGTCAGGCTGCCCAGAGGAGGCAGCTGCCCCAGGACTGCTTTGCGTCTTCTCATCCTCAGCACCGTCTCTTGGACTAATTAACGCCCAGGAATATAAATGAAGTCGTGAAGAGACTGTGGTTTGGGAACTGGGTCGGGGAGGTGGTGGTAACAGTAAAGTGATTCCGTGCCTGCCTGAGCTGGGTGAGGAAAAAGACACAGAAGAGGGGGTGGGAAAAGAGAGAAAAGATAAGGAAAATAGAGAGAGGAGAAGAAAGAGATTGACATACAGTCAGGAAGGGGGAAAGAAACAGAAAGGAGAAGATCTTGGGTGATTTTGGTGTGACCTCTGTTGGCAGATGTGTGGCCAGCCCTGCGGCAAGGTGAGGGGGGTTGGGAGGGCGCCTGCACCCCCCGGGCCCTCCTACTCTGTGTGCAGTCTGGAGCTAGAGCTTCCAAGCGGCTGCCCAGGGGCCAGGGCGAGGGTCTGTGTTCTGGTGCTCAGAACAGGGCTGGGCAAGCTGCACTTGGGCTGTGGGTAGGCGGGGGCAGCGCTGTTGGAAGCTCAGGCATGGACTGGCGGCCTCGCCCCTCCTCACCCCCACCCCAGGCTGTTGGCGCAGCTGGCAGAGCCTGGCGTTCCCTGAGCCCTGGGCAGCAGCTGGGTCAGGGGCCTAGAATCCTGTGTTTAGACCTGCATGAGGCCGAGCCCCACTGAGGGGTCTGGCTGCCGAAGGAGCAGCTCAGGGAGATGGGCCAGGAGAGGCGTGGTGGGTAGCTGTGCTGGGGCCAGACCCCTGCAGGCCAGGAAGGGAGGGGAGTGTGCCCCGCTTGGGAGGCTAAGGTGAAGGTGACCCATGGGCCTAGAGATTCAGCAGCTTGGGGCCCAAAGGAATAAAATGGAAACTTGACATTCTTTGAGGCTGTCTTAGCTGGTACTCGTGGCACCTCCGTTTCTGATAGTCTTGGGCCGACAGATGCTCTCCACCCCCGCCCCTGCAACAGGCACAGAGGGTCCGGGGGTGTGGTGGTGGGAGCAGAGCTAGCTGTGGACGGGTTCAGATCCCCAGCCATCACCTCCCACCTGGGTGACCTTGGGCCAGTCAGTCATGCCCCTTCTCTGGGCCTCAGCTTCCCCTCCAGCCAACCAGGAGAAGAGCCTGTATTGGAGGGTCAGTCGAGGCCCACAGCCCTGAGCAGATTCCCCTGGAAACATCCAGCAACCCTGGCCCGAGCCCGGAAGCCTAAGGTCCTGGCGCCCGTGGGAAGCCAGAGCTTGTAACCAGCATCAAAGTCCAGGATTAGTGATGCTGGGAGGAGCTTTTCAGCATCTTTAGAGTCCTAACCAAAGGCTTAAACTCCCAGCAGCTGTGGAGCCCAGGACACCAGCCTGCCAGCACTGCCCCGGGCAAAGCCCCCGTTTGGCTTTGACCTGGGCCCCTGAGGGAGGGTCAAGCAAGGTGCTGCATCCCACTCTTCCAGGGCTGGCTCGCGCCTTAGCCAGAGCAGAAGCTTCCAGCGAACTGACCCCGGCCACTGCCCAAATACTCATCTTCGAGGGTCTGATGAAAAGCGGCGGGCGGGCCTGGGCTCCACCCGCTCTGTCGCTCCCAGTCTGGGCTTCGGTCTTCTCATCTGGCCAATGGGAAGACTTACCCGCCACCCTGGGGACTGAGCAGTCCAAATGGTGCAGTACAGGAAAGCGGCCAGAAACGGCGCAGGGACCGGCAGGGACCGGCACCAGCTATTTTAATGGTTTAGGTTTAAAAGCCACAGGACCCAGGAAAAGGAGAGCGCGTTGGAATGGTTCACCGCCACAGCCCTGCGGCTCAAAGTGCTTCCTAGGACTTCACAGGGTCCGGGGGTCAGCACATCAGAAAGATAAGCTTCCACAAGACTCTGGGCATTTCAAGGAAGGGGGTTGAGGACCCTGAGGGCCAAGGAACAGCCCAGGCCAACTCCCCATTTCTTCATGAAGCCCGAGGGGAGTCCAAGCTGCCCGTTGTTAGGACTCTGCCTCAACGAAGGGGCATGTGATGCTTGGAAGACCTTGAAACTGTGGGGTAGATAGATGGATAGTATATATCAGCTGCTCTTCAGAAGTTTCCCGACTCTGTGGGGAGACAGGCCCATAGCAGGCAGTTAGTGACAGAATGTGAGGGGTGCCCTTGGAGGCAGCTCAGGGTGCCTCAGCCATCAAACCAGGGAGGCTTCCTGGTGGAGGAGATGCATGAAGGGGAGGGAAGGGAAGGGGAGGGCAGGGGAGGGGAGGGGGATGAGCAGCCATATTGGCTCCAACTACAATGGCCTGAGGATAGGAAAGGGCTTGTCCAGCCTCACACCCTGACCAAGTCCCCGGATGAGGGGAGCTCAGTGTTCTGGAGAATGGTTGCCAGTCCATTCTTGCCCCCCGCCCTCCCGGCCATGTTCCCTACCCCCAGTTTTTGATAAGATACCCAGGAGCCACTGTCCCCACTGCAGCCCCCAAACAGCCACAGAGAGCCCCCCTTCCCTGGTGCCAGTTGCCTGGCTGTCGTGAGCCGGGGTTTGTGGGGAGGGGAAGAACTGGGGGCAGGAAGGACCACTTTTTCAAATGCTGTTATTTAATCCTCGCCACAGCTCTGCAAGGGTTCAGGTTTCTGTGGCCATTTCAAGACGTAGAAACGGAGCCCCACTTTAAAGAGCACTGTTCTGAGTGCTTCTCATGTGTTAACTCGGGGACCCTGTCACAGCCACTGTGATCCCCATTTTACAGAGGCCACCTGGGGGAGGTGGGGCTCTCCTGGAGCCAGTGTCCAGGATGCTATGAAGGAGGCAAACGAGGAGCCCCTGGAGGCCCGGGGGTGACCCCAGTCTTGCTTGTTCCAGGCTGGCCCTGGACTGGCCACCCTGAGCACCGCTCGCTCTGCAGGCTTTGACTGGGCGAAGCCCACCACACGCCCACTTTCCCTGGGAAAGGCTATTTTTTGTCCCAACCAGCCTCCCAGAGGGTCCCTTGAGACTGCTGGCCTCTCTCCAGGACCCAGGCCTGGAACTTGGCCCAACCCCCAGGCAGAGGCCTCAGAAATCAGCTCCTGCTAAGGCTGCACTGCCCCATCTGCCCTGGGGGAGAGCCCCAGTGTCCCTGGCGGGCGTCCCCAGCCTATAACCGCGTGGCCCGGCGATGGCGTCCCCTGCTGAAGCAGCCTGTCTCACGGAGGCCCAGCACTACGCCTGTGCACACCGAGCCCTCTTGATTCTACCGCCAGCCCTTTAATCACAGCACTGACTAGTGTCTGCATTTTGCACATGAGGATTCTAAAGATGAGTGACTTACCCACGGACCCTCAGAAGCTGAGGATCTCAGTGGGGAAAGCAAGAGATGGCCGAGCCCAGCACGGGGCTGGGGAGTTCGCCCTCGCAAAGGCAGGGGCCCTCTCCCTCAAGGTCACTTCTAGGGCTGCTGTCAGGGCAATGCCATGAAATAACTGACGAACAGAGAAGGCTCTACGCACCACCCCGACCATGGGGCAGGGCCTGGCAAGTCTGGGATTGGCTGCTGGAGACCTGGCTGCCTTCACCTCCCATGGCATCTGGTCAGGGAAGGGCACAGTAGCTGAGTGCCGCTTGTATGTCTCTGCTCAACCCATACCAGGGCCAACAGCCGCCTCGGGGTCCCCATCAAATGCTTGCTTTACCCCTTACCTGCTGGCCACACATGTCACAGCTCGTGTATTACTCCTACAACATGGGGAAATAGGTTGGTTCATTTCCACTTTTACTGATAAAGGCACTGAGGCCCAGAAAGGGGAATTGACTTGACCAAGGTCACATAGCTAAAAAGTTGCAGGATTGAAACTAGACTTGAGTGTTCCTGACATCCATATCTAAGATCCTTCCACTCCTGCCTGGTTCCCTATTCCCCCATGAACAAGGCTAAGCTCTATACATATAGCGAACCTGTTGCGATCACCATTGGGGACCCCCAGGGACAGTACTTGGAGTTCAATAACACGGAGCTAAACCAAACATCGCACTGAGTGGTAGAAATTAGAACTGGAAAAGCCCTTGGAAAACTTTTAGCCCAAACCCTTCTTTTGCAATAAGAAAACTGAGGCCCAGAAAAGGACAGGGACTTGGCCAAGGTCACACAGCACTATAGTGCTGCCAAAGGTAACCACTCTCTGGTTTCTATCACCACAGTTTAGTTTTGCCTATTCTTGAACTTTATGTAAGTTGAATCATGTATCTATGTATCTTTTGCTCACTGTGGTTGGTGAGATTCATCCTGTCATGTGTGGTGGCAATGTGTCTATTTCAAATGTTGATAGACATTTGGGGAGTTTCCAATTGGTTTTATTATGACTAGCATAGTACTGCTATAAATATTCTTGAACTTGTCTTTTGCTGGACATATGTACATACTTCTTTTGGGCATAGAGCTAGGAGTGGAATTTTGCGGTCACTGGGCATGTGTCTGTTCAGCATTAACAAATGCCATTGAGTTTCCCAGGTGGTTTCACCATTTGACACTCCTACCAAGGGTGCTGAGCACTCTGGTTGTTCCACATCATTACCAACACTCGCTGTTCCCCACCTTTTTCACTTGAGTCATTCTGGTGGGTGCACAGTGGTATTGCATTGGGGTCTTAATTTGAATTTCCCCCAAACACTTAGAAGGTTAAGCACCCTTACATCTGGTTATCGGCCATCTGGATATGAGGTGCCGGGACTAGTCTTTTGGGCATCAGTTAACCGGAGCCACAAGAATGCTGCATACAAAGCACCCCAAATAAACATTTATTCTCATGTTCTGGGGCTCAAGACAACTGCAGACAGGTCGATCTAAGCCACCCAGGCTGGGCTACTCAGCGTCAGGCGCAGGCCCTGCAGAGCGGGCTCCCTGTGCAGGTTGGGCTGCCCCGGGTGGGTTCACTCTGGGGTCCAGCTCAGGGCAGTGCCTCCAGGGGGAGCTCTTCTCCTGGAGATGGCAGAAGAGCAAGCCCCACTGTCCCAGCACATGTCAAGTGGCTGCTTTATCATGTCCACCAACTGTCACTGGCCAGAGCAAGTTCATGGCCAAGCCCAATCTCAACGGGGAAAGAGGATACTCTGCCTCCAGGGAGAAGGGTGGATATTTGCCGAGCAAACCAAATTATAGCGCTAGTATTTTGGGTGTTTTTATAAAGACCTCATGTGATCGTAATATTCAGCCAGGGCTAGGAACTACTAACCTCCAGTCATGCTGCTTGTCAGCCAGTCAAAAACGAAAATCAGGCTTAGTTAATTTTACTTTATTTTCTAAAAGCAGTTTGCTCAACCAAAAGTGTGTATACATTTTTTAGAAGAGAGTCCCAGGAATTAACATAGCAAATTATTTTAACAATTGATTTGAACTAGATCATGAAACTTTAAGTAACAGGCCTGTATCTCAGCCCTAGCACCTGGTGCAGAGAAAGGGGACAATGCCAGGATAAGATGTTGGGTAACTGGAAGGAAGGAATGTGAGCACTGTCGTGCATGCTCCATGAGGGCCTGGATTTCTGTCTGTCCGGGTCACTGTCCTATCACTAATGCTTGGAGGAGTGCCTGACATAGCGTAGGTGCTCAATAAATGATCTCGCAGCTACTGAAGTATGCGTGCACATGTAGACGGGCTGCTGGAATGGAAACATGAATGAGGATGAGTGGCTGGTTAGTGAGATAGGTAGATGTATACTAGGATGGATGGGAAATGGATGGGTAGGTGGACAGATAGAATGGTCAGAGGGTAGATAATGGAGGAATGGGTGGATGCTGGATGATTGGATGGATGGATGGATAGATAGATAGATAGATAGATAAAGTAGCTGGATCAGAGCATGAATAGTTGGGTAGATAGATGATTAGATGGTTGGATAAATGGATGAATGAGCAGACAGATGGGAGTGTGGATGGATAAATGAGTCGGGGGACAGATGGATGCATGGGCGGATGAATGAAAGGACAAATGGGTGGATGATTGATAGGTGGGTGGATTGGTGAACAAATGAGTGGATGGGTGTGTAGACAAATGAGTGTTTAGGTGGACCATGTAACAAATGGATAAAAGATGACTGTGTGTGCCCTGGCCAGTTTGGCTCAGTGGTTGAGAGTCAGCCTGCGGACCAGAGAGTACTGGGTTTAGTTCCTGCTAGGGGCATGTACCACACAAAAAAAAAGATGATTGTGTGTTTTCCAGAAGATAGCAGAGCCGCCCCAGTGGGTAAACGTAGCTATTTTGCAAAACTGCTAGTGACCAGGATGGTTTTGTTCTCCTCACAGGGTTTTCTGGTTTGCAGCTTCCTCCTCCCCACGAGTGTCTCCTCTGGAGGCCAGGGTGAGGGGGCAAGGGATGGCCACAGAGATCAGTGCTCCGGGCGCACAGCGCGCCATTGGGAACGAGGAGTACAACCTGTACAGCAGCCTGAGCGAGGATGAGCTGGTCCAGATGGCCATAGAGCAGAGCCTGGCTGACAAGCCGCGGGGCCCAACCACTGCTGAGGCCTCCGTGTCCACACGTGCCAACCGTGAACCTGCCCATTTCTACCCATGGACCAGGTAAGAGGGGAGAGGCCCACTGGGGTATTCATAAGATACAGATCCCAAACGCTGTGGGTCCAAAACCAGATACCCTGGTCTCTAGGATGCATTTTAGCGCCTTGATGACTTACGTTTCTGTTTAAACTTTCTGACCTCTGACTGAGCCAAGGTCTGTGTTAGGTGCTATATGCGCTTCACCTCATTTAATCCTCTTAAGGACCTTCTAGGAGGTTCTGTGCTAGAGTCCCACTTTACAGATGAAGAAGCTGGAGCCCAAGGCTAGCCCAAGGGTGCACAGCCAGTAGAAGGCGGTGCAGGGAGTGGGGCTGCCTGTGGCCTGGCCGTGCATGCTGGCTGCAGTTTGAATGCGGCGGGACTGACCTCTGCGTCTGGCCGGAGCTCCCGGCCCCTCTATGCACGCTCCCTGGGAAACCTGTCTGAGAAGCAATGACATCTACCCAGCAAGGTGCTCCCGCTGGCTTGCTCTGGCTCAGCATGACCCCATCCTCCCAGCGATGGGACCATCTGGGCAACACCATGTCACACCAATAGAAATATGATGCGGGCCACAGTTGCAATTCCCCATACACCATTTCGAATGTCATGATAGCCACATTAAAAAGTAAAGAGAGCCCTGGTCGGTGATTAGTGCATCAGCCTGGGGACCGAAAGGCATGTACCTGGGTTGCAGGTTTGATCCCCGGCCCAGTCAGGGTCGTGCGGGAGGCAATCAATCGATGTTGTTTCTCTCTCTCTCTCTCTTCCCCCTCCCTCCCTTCCACTCTATCTAAACATCAATGGAAAAATAGCCTCGGGTGAGGATTAACAACAACAACAAACAAAACAAAAACTAAGGTTAATTTAAGTGAGATTAATGTATGCCTAAAATATTATCATTTTCACATCATCAATATACAAATTACACAAGAGATGTTTGCAGTCTTGTTTTCTCAGGTCTTTGGGATCCAGTGTGTATTTCGCACCCACAGCACAGGTCGACGGGGACCGCCCGTCTCGCGGGCTCTCTGCCGTGCGTGGCCGGTGCTCATGCACAGGACAGTGCAGACCTAGAGGGCTCCTTCTTCATAGGAGGTGGGAGCCAGACACGTCATTAAGCACTGGACCTTAAATGCTTTTTGAAAAGAAATACATATGTTTTAAACGTGCTTTTGCTCACCACTGAACCCCAGTCGTGTGCGTATTTGGACGTGGGTACTGGGTGGGAATTGCTGTAACAACTGTGTGGGTGTTATCTTGGGGCGTGGGCCTCACCTCTCATCTCCAGCAGACAGCGATTCCCTGTGTGACCTTGGGCAAGTCATTCACCCTCTCTGAACCACAATTTCCTTTTCTAATAACGAGAGTAACAACAGCAACAACAATGAACAGACTCTGCAATGTTCAGCCCCAGTTGACAGGGATGACGGTGGGTGACGGTGCGGCTCAGCCTGTCCCCTGATGAAACCTCCCAGGGTGCTCCCCAAGTGACTTTGACCCTTGCTGAGGCTGGAACATCTCTGCCAGACAGGCTGGGCAGAGGCCCGAGACGTCTGTCACCAAGGAGTCCCTTCTAAAGGGGAAGCCAGGCAGCCTCCTTGGGCAGCTGGAAGGCTCCAGGCTACTGCGCTGCCCCTGAGGATGTCCCATTTTGGGGCCCAGTTTGAAAACCAGAAGCCCAGACCCAGGTCTCATGGTGACCCATGCTCTAGGATGCCCTGGTTCCTGTTCTGGCCAGGTCAGTCCAAGTCAGACCACAGCTTCCTCTTTCTCAGAAGGGATCAGATAGAAGGGCAGCCTCCCTCCCACTGGGCCTTCAGCACCAGCCAGCGCATCCCCAGCCTCGGCAGCCTTCTCCCAGCGTGGGAGCCCCAGCCGGAGTCCTGAGACACTGAAAACATTAGAACTGGGCAGGCCCCTGAAGTCCAGACCCTGACCTCCTCCTTCCCCTAGTGGAGAAGGAAGTAGGGATCCACCATGGGGTGGCTGTAAACATTTATCCAGCCTCCTGAAAAAACAAGCTCTCAGAGAGAAGTAGAATGACTTATCCAAGGTCATGTGGCCCTCGCTCAAGATCCAGGCACAAGTACTGTAGGGGAGAAGAATTCAGCCCTGCATCTTGTCATTTAAAAAAAATATTGTATTGAATTTATTGGGGTGACACCGGTTAATAAAATTATATAGCTTGCAGGTGTATAATTCTATAAAACATCATCTGTATATTGTATTGTGTGTTCACCACCCCAAGTCAAGTCTCCTTCCACCATGTTTACACCCCCTTTACCCTCTTGTACCTCCCTGCTTTCCACAACCCTCTGGTAATCGCCATACTGTTGTCTGTGTTTAAGATGATTTTTTCTTTGCTTATCCCTTTGTTTTTTTCACCCGCCCCCAACACCGCTCTCCTCTGACAGCTGTCAGTCTGTTCTCTGCATCTGTGAGATCTAAGAGTCTGTTTCTATTTTATTCTGTTCATTAGATTCCACGTAGAAGTGAAATCACGTGCTATTTGTCTTCCTCTGACTGGCTTATTATATGATGTGACCTGAAACCTCCTAGGTTCAGTTCCGCTCCTTTGTCTCGAAGAGGAAGCTGGGCTTGGGTCCTACTGGGGAAGCAAATCCCACTGATATGATTTTAATGTGATTCTCCTCCTCCCCTAATATGCACTGAGTGCTTCCCATGTGCCCAGCACACGGCCATCCTCCGAATCCCTACAAAGCCACACAGACCGGGTGTTCCTGTGCCCATTTCACAGGTGACGAAAACTGGCACAGCAGAGCCAGGAATTGAACCCACGTCTGCCCCACTCTGAAGTTCAGACCCTTAACCAGCTCTGTGGACCTGCCAAGGCCTCTTTCTGGTTCCTTTCCCTCCTCCCTTGGGGTGGGTTTTGGGTCTCATTACATCCACCTTCTACCCAGAGATTCAGGGGCCCCAAAGACAAGAGACACAGGCTGGTGCTCACATGCAAGGCACAGCATTACAATTAGTCAGGACCCAAGAGAGTCCTGTTCACTTTTATCCTGAAATATCAGTTTCCACCCACACAGACTCCGAGCATGCTTAGAAACCGGACAGCATACATGTCCCCAGGGCTGCACATGGCCAGCTCCTTCTCGTCCTTCAGGTCTCAGATTAAATGTCACCTCCCCAGCACATCCTGCCAGACCACCCTCCCAGCTCAGGTAGGTCACGCCTCCTACTCATGCGCTCTCTTGGCTGTTTCCTTCATGGCCCTGACCACAACTTACAATTTCTGTTTCCACCATTAACTTGTGAACTCGCTGTGGGCAGGGGCTTCCTTCCTGTGAAGCCTCATGCCTAGCACGCCGCCCGAGCCAGGCGGGCACTGAGTGGGTGATGAATGAATGAGTGACTCGAGGGATAGACAGAGAAGTGGTTTCAGAAGTGTGAAGCCTTCCTTTACCACTTACCGGCTGTGTGACCTTAGGCAAGTTACTTAACCTTTCTGAGCCTCAGCAGCCTTATCTTTAAAATGGCAATGACAAAAATGTGCTGAGCCCACCTTGCAGGGTTCTTAGGAAAAGCAAATAAAATGAGGTAGACGTTGGAGCCCCACATCCTGCCGCTTGAACTGACCTCTGCCCACCTCTTCCCCGAGTGTCCACCCCATGACTGCCTGTGTTTCATGGACGAGCTTTTCTGTCACCTAGGAAGGCATCATCTGGCCTCCTGAGAGTGTCCCTTACTACAATGTGTGACCTTCTTGGGGACAGGGAGCAGATATTCCTCACTTGTGTATCCCCAGTGCCCAGCAAAGAGCCTGAATCACTGTAGACGCCCAGCGAAAGTTTTCAGGCAAATAAGTGCACTCTGAAACCAGTACAGTTCTCTAGGGATGTAAGTTGTTATCATCTTGTGACCAAAATGAAAACTGTGGACATAAAGACGAACTGAGTCTTTGGGACCCTAGAAATGAAAGCAAGATCACAGCCCAGAAAAAACATAATGTTCCCTTTAGAGCCATTTTCCAATTGGCTTCTCTCCCACCACAAAGCAAGAAGTGAGGTTTGAAACATGCGTGAGGATCGTCTTCCAAGCCCTGGCTGCTCAGAGCTCCCTGAAAGGCAGACCCAACTGCCCATCTCGTGGAGAAGAAGGGTTGGTGCACTACTGGCCAGAGACGAATGAAACAGGGGCCCAAGGTTACTACGATGGGCCGGCCAGAAGGGGTCCAGGAAGCTGGGTCTTCAGTCTGAACTTCTGCATTTTATTTAAGGGTACATTTCTGAGAAGACAAAGGAGGAAAGCATGAAGCAGGAACTTGCTTGGGCTGATGTGTGCACACTGTAAACAATTCAAATCAGCCCACCCACACTCACTGTGCACTTCTGATGTGCCACATGCCTGCCTAGCCCCTGGTCCCTGTCCTCCCCAAGCTTCAAGGCTAATGATGGTAAAGGCAGAGAGGTGCACAATGACCAACAGGAACGGTGCAGCAAAGGGGCTTGTTTCAGTTTCAGAGGGACAGAGAAAGGGTCTAGTCACTTAGTCAAGAAGGTGGGCTTTGCAGGATGAATAGGAGTTCACCAAACAGGTTAGAGGAAGCAAACTTCTTTGAGTCTCAATTTCCTCATCTGCAAAAGGGAGCCAATTGCATCTTCTTTACAAAGTGGACTAGAGGATGAGATGGGATGCTTTGTGCCATGTGCCTATCAGGCTTGGCACATAGCAAGTGCTCAACCAATCTTGACTGTGCGTGGGAAGGCAGAAGTTGCAGCCGGAACTCTTGTCGTCCCAGAAAGGATGGCTTGGCCAGTGGGTGAGGGAGAAGCAGAATTCTCATGGGTGGTAGGTTGATTCCAAAGACTTGTGGGAATGGGGTGGGGGTGGCAATGCCATGTGAGCTCTTCCTCTTTCTACCCAAGAGGGCAGGACACTGGTCCTCGAGGAATCTGAGGTCTTGGCATGCAGCCACACTGAGGTTACCCTATAGGACATTACCCCTCCAAAGGCTTTGGTCTGTTTGTTTTATTTCATTCATTTACATGTATCAAGTGCCTACTGTGTGCCAGGCACTGTACTCATGCCATCTGTGCTTGACATGCGGTTGGTATGAGGACCAGATTAGAGAACAAAAGCAGGATCCAGGCACAGGGGTGGGCGTGGGCGGACTCCTGTATTTGTTAACTTCCTCCCCTGTGGAGATGCCTGCATATGCCACCTGCATTCATCCAGGCCCTGCTCGACTTGGCGCCCTTCCGGGGGCCGGCCTAAACTGCGGATTAACTGAGAAGGTAGCGGGCATTGTCATCACAGCTCTGCTCACTACTCTCCCCAGTCTGAGCCAGGGCCAGTGGGCTCCAGAACGGGGCAGTGGGGATCCGGGTGCAGGGCTGCACTCCTGACCTCCAGCTGCTCTCCCACGCGAAGGACAGGACCTTACCTGGGCCTCTCCGAGGGCATGACCTGCGCCCACATCCCTCCAGGTTCCTCTCACCTCTGATGAGTCAGCCGGTGGTTTCCCCCGCTCTGCGCCTGAGAAGGAAGTGGGGCTGCAGCCTCAGCAGAAAGAGCCAGGAACCCGGCCAGGGGCCTGGCTTCCCCTCCAGCTCCAGTTGAGACTCATGGCCCAGCGGCTCTGAGCTCTCGCCCTGCTGCCCCGACACCAAGTATCCACTGATTTCAGGGCTCCCCAGAGCCAGCCCCTCCCCAAGGCTCTGTGGCTGTGTGTGTGTCCTTGTCTCCACCCCGCTGGCCCTCAAACGTCTCGAGGACCGACGGAAAGAAGGGTCCCATTGGTCCGCATCTCCAGGCCCGAGCACGGGGTGAGCGAGCAGGAGCTGGGGATTCTTGTTGAACAGAACTCGGTTCGCCTGTTTCCTCCTCTGCAAAGTGGGAGCAGGACACCCCCCGCCTCCATCCTGGTGGCCGGGACGATGGACACGAGGCACGGCCCCAGGGACTGTCGGCTTGGCCGCCTCGCTGCTGCCCCCAGCAGCCTCACTGTCTCACTGTGGCTGTCACTGTTATTATGTCACCAGAGAGAGGCCTGCTTCCAGGCCTGTCTGGGTGTTCACCAGTGCTCACCACCTTGCTGAGGACAGCCTCGCGCTGGGGTACCTGCGTGTGCCGACCTGCATGTGCAGGTCCACGTGGTCTGTTCTTGCTTCTGGACAGCCGAGCCAGACGCCGGGCTTGGCACCTGTGTCCTTCGCGTGTTCCTGTGTTACCAGCACCCGGCAATGTGCCTTGGAGCTTAGCAACCTGTGCTAAAATTCAACTGATATTTAAGAAGCGGGAGGCCACACATAGACTAGAGAGGAAGGTGGCCGGGACCGCAGGGCCGTGTGGAGAAGGGCCTGCCCAGCACTCTCCCCGCAGGCCCAGGGCAAGTGCAGATGACAGCACTGAGCCCGGCTCTCGGTGCCAGGGACGAGGTCTCTTACATCTGGTTGACACGCTGACTTTTTTTTTTAATCCTCACCTGAGGATATTTTATCCATTGATTTTTAGAGAGAGTGGATGCAGGGGAAGGGGGACAGAGAGAAAGAGTGAAACATCGATTGGTTGCCTCCTGCACGTGCCCCGACTGGGGCCAGGGATCTGCAACCCAGGTACCTGCCCTTGACCAGGAAGTAAACCCGTGACCCTTTGGTGTGTGGGCCGATGCTCTAACCACTGAGCCACTGGCCAGGGCTGACACCCTGACTTTCCACATAAGTTCATTTCAGCCAAGGCGCCACAGCTGCAGCAGCAGTGAGGAGCCCCTGGTCTGGCCCCACTTCCTCATTTTGCAAAGGAGGAAACTGAGGCCCAGAGAGAGTCAGGGCCTGTCTGTGTGGTGGCCTTGGAGCTGGAGAGAGGACCACGAGGTGAGAGGAGACCAGGGCCCAGGAAGAGGGAGCGTGGTGTCAGCGACCGCTCTGCTCACAGCGGCGGCCGGAGCAGGGCAGGCACACCCCCAGAGCCCCGTTTCCTCGTCTGAAAGGCACGACACTGACACCCACCTCCAGCGTTCATGAACGAGGACTAACGAAGGGACACACCAGGGACTCGACCCCGGGGTACAAGGAGAAAGCAGGCAGTGACGGTAGACGGGGTGAAGGAAGTTCCTGTCAGGGATGAGGGCGATGAGGGGGTGGCCTGGAGCCCCCCTGAGATGGGCTGGAGCAATGGAGTCAGGTGTCCTTCCTGCTCTCTCTGCCCCCCACCCCTCCCACCGTGTCCTGGTCTTGCCGAGCGTACCCACAGAGTCTACAGAGTCTGGCCTGGCCCGGAGAGGGTGTGTCCTCAGGATCGAGTTTCCAGCATCTCCATGCCCCACAGGGTGCTGGTCACCAGTAACAATACCCTGCCCAATCCCACGGGGCACCCCCAAAGGGGTGCAGGAGACCAGGCCAGGCCTGCTGAGGTGCCCACGGTACCAGGGCCTGACCTGTTGGAAGTAGGGCCAGCATAGGCCACACGCTCCATTCTCATGACAACTGCAAACAACCCAGATTGGTGGAGTGGCTGCCACACCTCCTTCACCCCTTCCATCAGAATAGCCTGGGGGTGGGGGGTGCTGAGGCTCAGAAAGGCAAAAGGGTGATAACATTAAAGGTGGACACGACTGAGCACCCCTGTGCTTGGCCCACGACGAAGCACTTGACACCGTTCACTCGCTCAGACCTCACCAGCCCTCTCAGACTGGGCTGTTCCGGAGACCGAAGCCCAGGGAAGTTCGACCTGTCCAAGGTCACACGGCCAGGAAGTGCCAGAACCTGGATTTGAACCTGACTCCAGGCCCTGGTCCTGATGACCCTCCTTGGGCATCCTTTAGCCGTGACCTTCATACTGTCTGTTCCCAACCCTGGGACGCAGGCCCCTCGAGGTGGGGGTGGGAACGAAGACCCAGCGTGGCTTTCCCGCTTCGCTCCCCTGTCCCCCACCCCACGAGCTCTCGTCCATCCTGGTCAGGACCCGGCCTGGCCGGCCCTGAGGCTAAGTCCCTTTCATCCCGGGCCCTGCCGCTGACACTTCTCACATCCTCCTGGGTGAAGAATGTCACCTTCTTTCATATCTGCCTCCCGTGTGGTTGGCTGGGGAAAGGGACCGCAGGAGTGGGGGTGAGGTTAACCTCATTGTTGTCTTATATGGTCATTTAAATCTCCCAGGGCTTCCTCCAAGGGCCAAAAATAATCCGAGACACAGCAGCTGTGTCCAGCACACAGAGAGGACCGGGCCATCTGCTTTGGTTCAGAGCCCTGCGTCTGTCTGTCAGTCTCTCCCCCTCACTCTCCCTGCACCCGCGGACCTGCCTCTGGCCATGACCTGCTTCTCGTATGCAGAGTACTTTTCCCTCTTTCACTCCTGCCCTGCACCCTCCAGGTCCACAGTGCCTCAGGAGCGCACAGCGGCCTCTGCCCACATGGGCCTGTTCCAGGGGGTCATGCAGAAATACAACCGCAGCAAGACCTCCCAGCTGGCGTAAGTGACCCCGGGCCTGCCCCTGGACATCCAAGCTCACTCTCCCAACTGGGGTTGGTGGGGGTGGGGGTGCGAAGCAGGCCCACAGCCCCCAGGCAGGGCGGCACTCTGGAGGGACCTCCCAGGCACAGCCCTCCCCGTGTGTCCCCCTGAGACCCAGCTGCTCCCGCTGAGCTGGGCTTGACGGTCACAGACTTTGTCTTCAAGCAGCCACCAGCCAGGATGGGATTGTGATTCACCTCTCGAAGCCCCGAGAGAGCCTTGTGTGCTGGAGTGGCCCATGAGGCTATGAATCTGAGGGCCTAGCTAGAGGGAGACCTGGGGAGAGGGCCCTAGAACCGCAGAGGCCCAGAGGGCTCAGAGCCTAGATGACAAGTCAGCCACACCGTTTTTCAGTTTCCCTCACCCTTTGCCATCACTTCGTGGGGGTGTGTGGGGGTTTGTTTTGCTTTGTTGCCTTTATTTGTTAACGCCAGGCACTAAAATCGGAAATAATCTCAGTTACTGGGAGTTGTTGTTTGCCTGGCACCGGGGTGCTGGGCTAGGTGTGTCTGTGGGAAACAGCTCCGGACCAGTTGCTTCTCTGCTCCCCCTGTTGACCCCAGAAGCAGCTAGAAGCAAGCAAGGGCCCCTGGCTGGAACCCCGTGTCCTTGCCCAGCTATGCTGCAGACAGGGAAGGAGGCAACTGGCAGTGTTTTGTTCCTCCTCCCCAGCCCTTCTCAAGACCCCACTGGCTTGGTGCTGCAGGTGGGGCTTGGACGGTGTGGGGAAGGGAGATGCAGGCTCTGGTCTCGGCACCGCTGAGCCTTCCTGTGTGACTGCCCAGGCGCCGCTGGGAGGCGGACAGGGTAGCGTGGCCTCCAGGGTCCTGCTCAGCTCCTTGGTCTCTGATAGCCCGACACCCAGCAGCCACTCCCACCCTCGGGGCGGGGACTTGGGCTGAGCTCGGAGGCGCCCTCAGCTGCTGCGCCTGTGAGCTCCAGGGTCCTGGCACCGCAGCTGGAGGAGACCAGGCTGCGTGGCGGGTCCTGAGGGTGTTCTCACGATGCCGCACCCACCCCCCAAGGACATTGGAACAGCCAGCCCGCCTCCCTTCCACTTCAGCTGGGGTCCCACAGGAGACCTTCCAGGGAGACGGGACACATACCCCAGTGGGGCTTTTCTTGACGCCAGCAGGGGCTGCTCTGGCCGCTCGTAAGAGGAACTCATCCAGGGGGCAGCGATGGCGTTGATGGGGATTCCAGGGCTTGTCTGGTCAGTTACCCATGGGCCTCGCTGGGTCTGTAACTTACCCCACATCTGTGCTCTGCAGCTATTAATAACCGGAGAGGCTGAGCGTCAGGAGGAAGGCGGTCTCGCTGGAGGAAGCGGTGGGAGGGTAGAGGGACCGGCCCTGTGGACCTCAGGGCCTATCCCCGTCTCTCACAGCGGTGGGGCCCTGTGTCACTTCTCCCTCTGGGAAGGGGACCATGCAGGCAGAATGTTCCCCAGGAGTGGATCTGGGAGTCAGAGCAGTCGAGGTCTTCACTGACTCTCCAAGGATGGGGGAAGGGAGCTCAGCGAATAAACACATGCATGCATGCATGAATGAATGGACAAACGAAGTGGCTTTAATGAGCCAAACAAAGGAGTTACCATTTGTTTTAACCCTGAATTCTTTTTGGCATTCAGAATTTTACACTGTGAAGGCTTTAGAGTTATTTATTTATTTTTATTATTATTATGTTTTTAAATGTAGATTTATTCTATGGTTTAATTTTTTCTTTACTGATGTTAGAGAGAGAAAGGAGGGGAGAGGGGGAGAGAGATAGAAACATCGATGAGAGAGAGTATCGACTGGCCGCCTCCTGCATGCCCCCCACTGGGGATCAGGCCCACAACCTGGGCATGAGCCCTGACTGGGAATCGAACCAGTGACCTCTTGGTGCATGGGTCGACGCTCAACCACTGGAGGCTTCAGATTTATTAATCCTTTAAATGTTTAAGTCTTTGAGCTGCTAAAAGTTCTGGGGTGAGGATAAGGGTCAGGAGCAAGGAGGAAGTCGGACGGAGCGCGGAGAGATGCTCACTGCGGAGTTCCCTCTGCGCCTTCATCTCAGAGCTGCTCAAAGAGCAAACGGGCCCAGGGGTAAAGGTGCTTGGTCAACGCTGGAGCACTGTGCTCAGAGGTGTTCAAGTACCACGAACACTCCCATGGGGTCGGCTACCCATCCTTTTGGAGGCTGGCACTGTATACTCCAACCCTCTCGGTAGATGTGGCTTTGGTGTGACATTAGAGGCAGCCACTGAAAACCTCAGGGACAGAGGGGCCCCCTAATTCTCTTTCAGCCACCAATGAACTTTGTGGAAAAGGGGCCCTCGGTTTCCGTCTGTGAAAGTGAAGGAACTTCCCGTGTTTCCACCCGTTTCTAGTCGAGTTTCCCTACATGGTGCCCGACTTGGAGATCAAAGCTGTGAAAATGCCCCAGGATGCTCAGGGGGGATTGGACACCGCAAGGCTGATCCAGCACCCACATTCACCTTTGTAGGCCAGGATGTCCCCCAAATGCTCCAGGGAGGCCATTGCAACAAATGTTTTAATTCCCAAAGAAACAAGCAAAACTGATAAGAAAGAGGCTATCTCTTTGCAAATAGAAGGTGTGAAGGTGTGAAATAACTGTTGGGGTTCCTAGGTTCTGAATTCTTCCTTCTTCCCTCCCCTCCCCTCCCTGCCCCTCCCTTCCCCTCCCCTCCCCTCCTTCCTTCCTTTTATGCAGCAAATATTTATTGAGCAGCTGTTATGAACCATCCACTAATCTGGACCCTGGGAATAAAATCATGAGGGATAAAGAAAGACATTGTCCCTATCTTCTTGGAGCTCACAGTCCAGTGGGGGAGACAGAAAGTGGTCAAACAAGCATTCAAAAACATGTAAAATATGTGATATTTGAGGGCTTATGACTGGAGGCAGGGAGAGGCTGACCTGGCCAGGCAGCTGAGGATGCCGTGATGGAGCTGAGACCTGGAGGGGCCAAGGTCAGAGCCGAGGTCGGGCTGAGTTCCCAGGGCACAGCCATGTGGGTTAGGGGGCATTATCCTCCTCGTGCAGAGCACCCTGGCTGCAGGGGGCTGAGCGCTGTCCAGACCAGCAGGGACAAGCAGGGCAGAGTGACCCCACAGTCTGCACGGCTCCCGGCCCCCAGCTTTCCCGCGGGCAGAGCAGCTGCCCGGCTCGGCCTGCGTCCTGAGCAGTGGCCTGCCCTTGTTCTCACAGGCCCGTGGACCCTGTGCTGAAGGCCATCAAGGAGGACGATGAAGAGGCCTTGAAGGCTATGATCAAGGCGGGGAAGAATCTGGCCGAGCCCAACAAGGACGGCTGGCTGCCGCTGCACGAGGCGGCCTACTATGGCCAGCTGAGCTGCCTGCAGGCCCTGCATCGAGGTGAGGGTCCCACCGCACGCACGCAGCCAGACGGGGAGTGGCACTCGGGGCAAGGGCGCCTTCCTCCAACAGCTTTGTGCTCTTTGCCTCGAAACCTGGGTGTCGGGGCCAAGGCAAGGTTATCACTCCTGTTGCAGAGTTAACGTCACCAGGTGGGGAAAGGGAAAGCGACTTGTCCCCCAACAGCAACAACTTCCTCCCACCCACCCACATTTCCAGCCTCCCAGGACAGGAAAGCTAATTCCTAGAAAAGGAAGGAGGGAGGGCTGGCTTTTGGGAGAGCTCCTGAGAGCTTGTTCTAGAATGTTCCAGGGGATGATTTGGTGTGGAAAATACTGCAGCTGTGCCTGTGCCCGCCAAGGCCGTCCCGACAGCTGTGGGGCCCTGGGTGAATCATGCCTCCTCCTCCCTGAGCCTTGGCTTCCCAGCCACATGGATGCGGGTACCTGCGGCAGCACAGACCAGACTGCCTACCACACTCCAGGGCAGAAGCAGCAGCATGAGACGGAGCTTCCAGCCATGGCTGGTGGGACTATAAGGGAAGGATGGGGTCATTCACAGGGGGAGGAGGCTCAACCAGGGAAGGCTTCCCAGAGGAGGTGGCATCTGAGCTGGATTAATATGACCAGGAAGCTGAAACAGCCCTGTGAATGCTACTGCGTCTAGGGCCAAGGTGATGAAAGCAGTCTGGGTGGTAAATTGAGGCAGATGCCACACACATCTGTCCTTGGAATTGGGAGGAAATGATGTCCAACTCTGTGTTGGGGCGGGGCGAGGAGCAGAGAGGAGAAGCAGGTGGCTTCCTCCTTGAATGTGTGATGTGTCCTCCCCAGCGTACCCAGCAACAGTCGACCAGCGCACCCTGCAGGAGGAAACGGCCCTTTACCTGGCAACATGCAGGGGACACCTGAACTGCCTCCAATCCCTGCTTCAAGCTGGGGCCGAGCCCGACATCTCCAACAAATCCCGAGAAACACCTCTCTACAAAGGTGAGCCCCCTGGTGGGCTTCCCCAAGGAAGGGTCCAGAAACTACGTGGGCAATTGGGAGCATTGCTCCTGAGGTACAAACCCCCCATGGGGTCTACTTGAAGGGGCAGCCTCCCTCGGATGCATAACGTAGGTAAGGCCCGCTTAGGGGCACTGAGGGCTCAGCGTGGAAAAGAGTCACCCATGCCCGAGCGTCCTCCCAGGGCAGTGGGCATCAGATCACAGACAGCGGTCAGCTAAGGACGATGAAGAGCGTGGCTCAAGGCACCTGGGAGCTCGGGGCAGGGGCCCTGACGTGGGGGAAGGGCACCCACGGGAGGTACCTGAGCTGAGCTTGAACAGGAGGGATCTACTAGCTGGACAAGCAGGGGAACAGCACAGGCAAAGACAGAGAGGTATGAGAGAATTTGTACCTCTGGGATGTTTAAGGAAACCCAGACTCCTGGCTGAATCAGTGTGTCATCCAAGGGCATTGGCTACCCCAGCCAAGTGCCAGAGTCAAAATCTGAACAACTGTAACAGCTGGTGTTGAGTGTTCCTGTATGCCAGGCACTGTCCTTTGATTTTCCCTCACATCCATCTATGTGTGGGGTAGGCACTGCTAGTGAGTCCATTTCACAGATGAGGCCCTAAGGCACAGAGACCTGCAGTGAGGTGCCCGGGATCACACAGCCAGGGGCAGACCTGGGATTTAAACTCAGGGAGCAGTGTGCCAGCTCCATGCTCTGAACCCCGACCCTGTGCAATGCATCTAGTTCCTGCCTCCATGCTTAAAAACCAGCCTTGGGTCTTGCAAAAGTGAGAGGGCCTTTACACATCGAAACGACAGAAATCCCCGATTTCCCATGTCTGGCGTCCAGCACCTGGAATGTTCCGTAGGCAGCAGACTCTGGCTAGCTGGTGACCGGGTCCACTTCGGGACTGCGATGCAAGTGTCTCCCCCAGAACCATGTCCACCAGGCCACCAGAGCTGTCACTTGGAGCCTCAGCTGTTCCAGAGAGAGCTCCCAAGACGCTGGGTGATTCAACTTGGGCCTTGGGCTGCCTGAGCTCCAACTATGTACTAAGCACCATGCTAGAACCTTCCATGGACTTCCTCACCCAGTCGTCCCACAATATCTTCTCAGGACGGTTTTGTTATCTCTGCTTTACAGGCGAGGACACCAAGGCTTCGGGAGATGGGCAGCTTCATCTGGGGTCCTGTTTGAAATGCTACGCAGGCAGCTCCCCTTCCTCCTCACCAGGCCCCTGACTGACCTGGAGAAGCTTCCAGGGGTGGTTCATTGGACAAGTGCGCAAGCTCCCTGGTGACAGCTCTGGCCAGAGCCAAGAGTGCACTCAGGGTCTAGAGAGAGATGAGGCTTCAAAGGGAGGTCGGGGCAAGTTGAGAGAGTCTTGATGAACTGCATTAAGAAGATAAATTTTACCCCAAATTAAGTGAGCAGCCTTTGAGGAGGGGGCTGGGCAGGGACATCTCACTGTCCTCCTCTTCCGGCCTTGGCCATGTGGATGACTAAAGCAGGTCACAGTGGAAAGGGGTATGAGTTCAGGGCATCCTGGGCCAGTCCAGGGGACAGAGATTTTCTGGATCCAACAACCTGGGTTTGAGTCCCAGTTCTGCCACTTGCTATCTGTGTGACTTCAGACAAGTTACTTAACCTCTCTGTGCCTCATTTTCCTCATCTGTGAAAAAGCATAATAACACTACATATTTTAAGGGTGTTTGGGAGAATTAAATCAGTTAATCATGTAAAGTGCTCAGAACAGAGTGCGTGGTACATAACCAGTGCTATGCATACGTCAGCAAATATTGCTAATTTGTATTACTATTACTTTTATTTATTTATTTATTTGAAATTAGGTCTTTTTAATTAAAAATTTTTTTTTTCTTTATTGACTTTTAGAGAGGGAGAGAGAGAGAAACACCGATGAGAGCGAACATCGACTGGCCGCCTCCTGCATGTCCCCCATTGGGGATTTGACCCACAACCCAGGCATGAGCCCTGACCGGGAATTGAACCAGGACCTCTCAGTCCATGGAATGATGCTCAATCCACTGACACCGGTCAGGCTTACTATTACTTTTAGTTGTATATCCTGTGCTGGGACTGAAACTCAGTGCTGACCTAGTGGGTATTAGTTGAACAGATGGCTGATGAGTGAATGAGTGAATGGACAAACAAACGAATGAAGTCTTGGCTGGCCAGGTCCTGCCAGGGGCCCTGCTGACTGTCTTGCTTGTCCCTGGGCACAGCCTGTGAGCGCAAGAACGTGGAGGCAGTGAGGATTCTGGTGCAGTACAACGCGGACACCAACCATCGCTGCAACCGAGGCTGGACGGCTCTGCATGAGTCTGTTTCTCGTAATGACCTGGAGGTCATGGAGATCCTGGTGAGCAGAGGTGCCAAGGTGGAATCCATGAACGCCTACGGCATCACCCCCCTGTTCGTGGCTGCCCAGAGCGGGCAGCTGGAGGCCCTGAGGTTCCTGGCCAAGCACGGTGAGTGCTAAGGATCTGTGGGTCACGGAGTCCGCAAGGGGTACAGGGAGGAAGGACCTCAGAGGTCTGCTCTAAGGGAAGGCAAGTTTAGGTGTCATCATATGGACGTACTCTGACTATCTTCTTGGAGTGCTATGTTGAGAAGGATTCTGAGGCTGGGTCTAGGCTCAGTGGGAAGCCGGTTGTGATCCACTCGTGATGCCTGAAATGAGGTACAAGCTTGAGGCGGGGAGTGGAAACCAGCCACCTATTTGCACTCTCTAATCTAGCCCAACATCCTTCTTTTACAAATGAGGAATCTGAGACCCGGAAAGGAGAACTGAGTTCTCTGTAGTCACATAGCAAATTAGTGGCAGAACCAGCCAGACTCAGTCTCCTGGCAGCCCAACCACATCTCTTTCCACGCTTCAGGGCCAGAAGGAACCTCACATCTAGATCACTTCCTCACTTCACAGTTGATGAAACCAAGGACCAGGATGGGAAAGTGATTTGCTCAAAGTCACACAGCAAATTCGTGGCAGAACTGGGATTTGAACTCAGGCCTTTGTACTCTTTATAAAACAATGTTATTCACTTAACGGAGAAAGTAAAACAGAATTGCCTTATGGTGTCCCAGTAGCGGAAGAGCCCGAGATAATGGCAGGTGTTCTTTTGTCAAAGAGCATTGTATTCTGATCTCCCTCAGTAATTTTTTGATTTCTTTTCACTCTCTCTGGGAAGTGGCCCACCCTCTCTAGCAAGAGAGAGGCCAGATGTAAGCCGGACCCTGGGAAAGAGTTGGAATAATTTGCTGAAGACCTACTGTGTGCCAGACACTGTGCTGAGCATGAACACAGATTAGGCCAGTGTGGTTTTCTCCATAGCCGTATGAGATAGGTCATGTCCACACCCTGTTTTGTAGACAAAGAGATGGAGGCTTAGAGGTTAAAGGTTGGCTTGGTCACAATCAGAGCCTGGATTCTGACCACGTCCATCTGACCCCAAGCTGATGTTCTTTGCATTTGCTACTCCGCCCTGGCCTCCAGAGTGGCCCTCGTGGGACTTTGCTCAAATAAGCCTCCACTTAGCGTGTGCCTGCGCAGTTAGGAAAACAGACCCAAGGCACTTCCTTGCAGCCAGGGGTGAAACTGGACTGACCAGCTGGAGAACAAAGGGGCACAGGCAGGGTCCTGGGAGCCCAGGCAAGGAGGCTAGGCAAAGGGCAGGGTGCTCAGCGGGTGGGGAGCCGGCTCACTCTGCACATCTGCCGAGCTCTGCTGCCGACCCTCTGGTCGAGGTCTGTTCCCTTTGTGAGCTGAGTCCATTTTCAAATCCAAATATTTTCCCTTTGCTCGCGGGGTCCAGGCTTCCAGGGAGCCTGACTTTGAGAGACCCGGTGTTAGAGCTGCCTGCCGGCTCTCGCTCGGGGCTGGAGGGCCCAACCCGTCCCTGTGCCCAGACCCTCCGTCCTGGACACCTGCGCTTTGCAGAGCAGCTCCGCTGTGCCGGGCACCGTGCAGGGGGCCTCCGTCCTCCTTCGGCTACAGCAGAGCACCACAGACTCGCTGGCTCACCCAACTGGGGCTTGTTTCTCAGTTCCAGAGACTGGAAATCCAAGGTCACAGTCCTGGCAGATTCGGTGTCTGGTGAGGGCTGCTTCCTACTCATAGACAGCCATCTTCCCACTGTGTGCTCACGTGGTGGAAAGTGAGAGGCTCTCTGGGCCCCTTTTATTAGGGTGCAAATCCAGCCTCATAACCAAATCACCCCCCAAAGGCCCCACCTCCGAACACCATCACCTAGGGGGTTAGGTTTGCCATATGCATTTTGGGGGGACACATTCCATTTGTAGCAGATTATTTACTTATTCTTGCAGTGATCGATCCCAGTTAGTGGGTATATCGTTCCATCAACAGATGAGAAATCGAGGCTCCTAAAGGCTGCCCAAGGCCACGGAGGTTGTAAGCCTGGAAACGAGCTTCCGCTGGTCCGTGTCTGTCACAAAAGCCGGTCGTTCCACTAGACCAGAAATTGGTCATCAAAATGAAAAATAAAAAACTCCCAGAAAGCCCGAGATAAGCAGGCGGCACAGGGAAGAGCTGTGGTTAACAAACGCTTCTGATTTCAGCCCTACTGACACCTGTGCTGTCTGAGTTCTACTTCCTTCCCGAGTAAGGAGGGGCTGGTGAAGAGTCAGGAAACCCAAGTGCGTGGCAGTCCCCTGACTGCCAGGAGATGGAGAAGGTGTAGGAGATTGCGCTGAAGGGAGGCTGTCACCCGGCTTGACTCCTCCTGTCCGCGTAGAGTAGTGTCTTCTTTAAAGGGGAAGCAAATCCTGACTTATTCTTGAAAATGGAAGGCAGAGGATTTGTCATTGGGGGTTTTCTTTACTAGGGGGCTCTGGACTCTCTGAGACCTGTGAGGGCCTTTTTCAAGGCGGGGTCACGATCCTTTTACGTGGGGTGAGGGTTAAGAGCATGGCCTCACCCTGGCCGGTTTGGCTCAGCGGTTAGAGCGTCAGCCTGCAGTCCAGAGAGACCCGGGTTTGGTTCCTGCTAAGGGCACGGACCTCCGTTGCAGTTTGTCCCCGTCCCTGGTTGGTCGTGTGGGTGGCAGCCACTCGATGTGTCCCTTTCACGTCGATGTTTCTCTCTCTCTCTCTCTCTCTCTCTCTTCCTCTCTCTCCCTCCCACTCTATCTGAACAAAAAATGGAAAAAATGTCCTCGGGTGAGGATAAAAAAAAAAAGAGCATGGCCTCCACCATCGAACCATCTCCCACAGCCTCTGCCATCAGACTGTTTAGGTTCATGTTCTGGCTCTTGACTCATGAGCTGGGCTGGGGCAAGTTGCATGGGTTCTCTGTGCTTCATAACATAGAGGTAAGAATAGAACTGATCACACGGGGTGACGTTATGGATTCAAAGAGACAACCATGCAAAGCACAGTGTCGAGCACATAGTAAGTGCTCAGTAAATGCCAGCATTGTTAGGGTGGCTTTGCTTTTTTCTTTTTTAATCCTCATCCGAGGACATTTTTGCATTTATCTTCAGTTAGAGTGGGAGGGGGAGAGGGAGGAAGAGAGAGAGAGAAACATAGATGTGAGAGAGACACATAGACTGGTTGCCACCCACACAACCCCAACCAGAGCCGGGGACAAAGTGCAACCAAGGTACGTGCCCTTAGCGGGAACCGAACCCAGGTCTCTCTGGACCGCAGGCCGACGCTCTAACCACTAATCCAAACAGGCCAGGGCCAGGGTGGCTTTTCACCTCCAAGAGGCCTCTGCTCAGGAGGGCAGACCCAGAGGTCTTGGTGTTATGGATGAAGCTGAGGGTCCTTCAGGTGGACCCTTCCTTTCTAAGGATCCAATGTGTCACGGCAGTTAGCACAGCCCAACAGGGACATTACTTCAGGGACAGTGACTACCCTGATCACCCACTGCTCTGCCTCTCCTTCGCCAGGTGCTGACATCAACACGCAGGCCAGCGACAGCGCGTCGGCGCTCTACGAGGCCTGCAAGAACGAGCACGAGTCAGTGGTGGAGTTCCTGCTGTCGCAGGGCGCCGACGCCAACAAGGCCAACAAGGACGGCATGCTTCCGCTCCACGTCGCCTCCAAGAAGGGCAACTACAGGTCAGCCCCGCCCCGCCACCAGCACCCAGCCCACACTGGGGACTCCGAGCGTCCCCGCAGGGTCAGGAGGGCTCAGGTTAGCGAGGACAGCGCCTTCACTGCGAGAGAGGACAAGTGCTCAGCACCAGCAAGCCAATGACAATATAGTAAAGCAAACAGGCAGCACCGACCATCACCTTCCATTACTCACTCATTTAGTCCTTTTGATAACTCCACATTTTTTTTTTTTTTTTTTGGTTAATCCTCACCTGAGGATATTTTCCCTTTGAGTTTTAGATAGAATGGATTGGAGGGAAAGAGAGAGAAACAAACATCGATTGGTTGCCTCCTGCACCACCCCGATCCAGGCTAGGGATTGAACCTGCAACCCAGATATGTGCCCTTGACCAGGAATCCAACTTGCGACCCCTTGATCCACGGGCTGATGCTCAAACTGCTGAGCCAAACCAGCCAGGGCTGATCATTCCACTTTTAATGATCTTTTTAACAAATCTACTGAGGTAGATACTATTATTTCTCTTTTTCAAATGAGGAAGCCAAGACACAGAGAGGTTGAGTGATTTGCTCAAAGTCACACAGCTTGTAGATGGCAAGAATTCACCTATTACCAATGTCACATCTACGGGAATTGTACTCAAGGCGCCAGATATGCATTTGGACTAGAGGATATTTCTGGTGGGGATACAAAGATAGCCTCTCAGGCAATTAGCAAGCACGCAGGATGCCCGTAATAACACAAAGTGGCAGGGATAATAGCTACCTTTATTGAGCACTTACTATGTGTGGGTACTTTGGGCGAGATGAGAGAAGCCTATGCTCTCAGGGAGTGATCTGGTGGGAGGGAAGATGCACATGTATGTACACACACACACACACACACATGAATTCAAGAGCATTCCCCAGTGGTCCCAGTGCACGCTGGAAGCAAAGGATGCTAGAGCTGGTCTGTACCAGCTTACATGAGCTGATTGTTCAGTTGACAGCCTGAAACTGGCCATGGTGAGAGTATTTACACCACAGAAACTGTTGCATGATCACTGCCTCCTGCCCCTAACTACCACCCCCAGCCAGTTGTTAGACATCCAGCAGCATCACCACTAGCTGGAGAGCTCTGGGAAGACTCGGCCAGGAAGGGGAACACCAGCCATCTCTGAAGGATGCACAGGGCCCGGTAATTTCCACTCGACCAGTGTTCCCCAAACTTGGACCATTCACAGACTTTCTTCCCGATTTGAGACATCGATAGTCTCATTGCTTAGTATTTTCCTTTAAAGACATTTTTTTACCTAAAATGAATTTGCTTTCAAAAGGAAACACTTCCCACACTATTAAATTGTTAGTTACCAATTTACAATTAACGAAAACCTTTTCATCTAAAATCCCATGGTGCGTGCCCCAGAGGGCACACTTTGGGAGGCTCAGCCCTGTCCTCGGCAGGGAGAGAAACATGGCCGGCTGCATGTTGGAGGGTGCTGGCTGTCTTTGCTAAGGCAGAGGTCAGTGGGGGTGAGGGTGACATCCAGAGAATGAAGAAGAGACACAGGAGCCCTAAGCCCTGCTTTGCAAGCTAGCTGCACAAGTCCCCAACCAAAGGCGCCTCTCTGCACCCCACGCTCCGTGCATGCACGGAGGAGACCTCGCCTTCTTTGGACCACATGCCGGCTGCAAGGCACAGGGATCTGGATTTGAATTCCCGCTGAGGCCATGGGGCACGCTGCTTCACTTTCCAAGCCTCAGTCTCCCCTTCTGTAAAGTGGGAGGCAGTCACGGCTGGGGCTGTTGCGGGAGCTAGTGGGATGGATACACATAGACATGGGATGGACTTGAAGCACCCAGCAGAGTGCCTGCCACCAAGGACGTGCTCAGACGGCCCGTCTCCAGTCTCTCTTGCACAGGGAGGGCGCTCGTCACCATTTTTCAGTTAAGCCAGTGGATAGAAGAAAGCGACAAACATGTCAGGCAGTGGCGACGAGCAAGGAAAGAGCCAGCATCAGTTAACAAACATGGTTTTTCTTGAGCCTGACCCCAGAGAGATCCACTGATTGCGGGGGAACCACTGATTAATCCAACTGCTGGTTCCGCAGAGGACGGAACTGAGGCCAGAGATGAGAGGTGGCTTTCCAGAGAGCTGGGACTGTCGCTTGGTGCCGTCACGTGGGCCTGGACGTCTGGCCCAGCTGGAGGGACCTTTGCAGGGGCACTGGGGTGAGCCCAGGGATGACCAGGGAGCAACCGGAAGCCCTGCTAGGAATGGGAAGGATTCGTGTCCCCAGAGTCTCCTGCTGTGGATTCGTGCTGACTCTCAAAGCAATCTCCCTGCTTATTCACCCGCCATTCCCAGGCCCCATTGTCCTCTGTTCCCCAAGGCTGAGAGGGATCAGGCCTCTTTTGGGGGCCTGCCCCAAAACAGGGGTAGAGTTGGGTTCCCAGCAGCTTCTGCCCCTTGACCAGGCCCGAGGCCAGGCAAGCCCTTCACTCACTTCCTGGGCATGTGGCGTTAATGGCCCTCTCCACTCAGACCTCTCACGGGCTGCTCAGGGGTTCGAGGGACTCTCCACACACCGAAAGCAGTGCCAGGGGCTGGTGTCAGTGTTCATCAGTAGATGCCATCTCTTCAGCACCTTTACCTGGAGCGTGTGACATCCAGGCATGGCTGAGAAAGGGGCTCCCAAGGTCCCAAAGTCTCGGGCACCTCCAGGGCACCTTTTACCTATTTTATTTCCAGTGTAGCAGAGGCACCTCAAGAGATGCACACACAGAAGCAAAGACACATTTATTAAGAAATGGTGTTAACAAAAGTAGATGCCCCAAGATTCCTTTGAATTGAGATTATCATCGAAACGAGTGGCTCTCAACCATGGCTACCCATTGGGACCCCTGGGGGCTCTAAAATCCGGGGTGCTTGGGCCTCGCTCGCCCTCAGAGATCCCAGTGTTAAGCAGTTGGGGCTGGGGCTGGGGCTGCAGGCTCCTCAGAGGCGCCCAGACAATTTAACTGTGCAGCTCGATGGAGCAGCGATTTCCAACTTTCTCATCTCATGCATACATAAGCTAGTTACTGAAATTCTGTGGCACACCAAAAAACATATTTTTTGCTGATCTGAAGAAAGTATAGCTCTGGCTGGTTTTGCTCAGTGGTTAGAGCATTGGCCCTCTGACCAAAGAGTTATGGGTTCAATTTCCGTCAAGGCCAATGAGTCTTGGGTTTGATTCTGGTCAAGGGCACGTACCTCAGTTGCGGTTTGTCCCCGGCCCTGGTTGGGGTTGTGAGGGAGGCAGCCAGTCCATGTGTCCCTCTCACGTAGATGTTTCTCTCTCTCCCCCCCTCAAACTCTGTTTGAAGATAAATGGAAAAATGTCCTCGGGTGAGGATTAAAAAAAAAATAGGTATAATTTTGATACAATCACACTGGACGGCTATTGTTGTGTTGGCTGTTGTCATTTTTTAATTTGGCAATCTAAGGGAAGAGAGGTCCGTGCCCCGGACTAAATAGTCAGGTACTGCATGTTTTAAAACTTCTTGCGATACACTGATTGAAAATCACCGTGGTAGCAAACCAGCGTCTTAGAGTCTATTTTCCAGCTGACGTATAACACAGACATGCATTTTTTAAATTAAATTTAATTTTTTCCATCACCTTTTATCCCCTCCGTGCCCTCTTCCGCCTATACCTATCCCCCCACTCCCACAATCACCACACTGTTGTCCACGTCCATGAGTTCTCGCTCTCTTTTGAAAATACGTTTTATTTATTTATTTATTTTTAGAGAGAGAGGAAAGGAGAGAGAGATAGAAACAGCGATGTGAGAGAGAAACATCGTTCGGCTGCCTCCTGCACGCCCCCTACTGGGGATCGAACCAAAAACCCTGGCATGTGCCCCGCCGTGCAATCGAACTGGGACCTACCTCTCAGTCCATGGGATGACGCTCAGTCCACTGAGCCACACCGGTCAGGCTCTGTCTCATTTTTTTTCTTTTTTGCTCAATCCCTCCATTTCCCCAACCCCGTCCTCTCCCCCTGAGCTGTCTGCTTGCTCTCTACCTATGAGTCTGTCTTTATTTTGCTCAGACATGCATTTTGAACCTCACTTTTGACCCTCTTGTTCTTAAATATTCTTTCTCTTTTACTTCTAATTTATACTATCTTTACGAGTCACTTAAATTCTTTCTGGAAAAAGGCAAAAGAGAGAACATTTAATACATTAAATTAAAATGAAGATTACAAAGCATGTTCACTAGCAAGTCAGTATCCCCATTAATTAAAAGAGAAACTGAGGCTCGGGGCTCAAGGCCTTGCAGAATATAAGAGGGGAGAGCCTGGGCACGGGCCCCCTTCACCACCCCGTCCCCTGCAGGAAGCTGGCTGCGGCCTGTGTCTTCTTCGGGAAATGGTGAGGGTTGGCGTCAGTGCGCCTCAGGTGTGGTGCGTGGATCACAAGCAGCAGACCCCCACGTCCCTCCTGGCCTGCTGAGTCAGGCCCTGGACAGCAGAGCCCCGGACTCTGCCGTTACAGTGATTCCCTGAGTGATTCTGAGTCACACTGTGATGAGAACTGGCAGTTTGCGTCCTCAGCAAGCTCCGCTGTGTGCCTGCCCTTCCTCCTTCATGGGGGACCTGCTTCCTGCTGCAGGACAAGCTGCGGACTCCTGGGCTGGAGTCCCTCTGTACCCTTGGGAGCACCCCGGGGCAGACGCTGCACCGGCGGACTGTTGCTGGCTCCAGCATGAGCATCATATGGGCTCAGAGAAGAGGTAACTGCCCGCCACAACTCTCTCTCTCTCTCTCTCTCTCTCTCTCTCTCTCTCACACACACACACACACACGCTCCTGGCAGGGTTGACACAGTGCAGCTCAGTGGTATTGGCAGCGGAGCCGTCTGGGGGCGGCTGGTTCCCTTGTGAAAGTCTAGTCCACAGTCCGGTTTACACTGAATGCTGACAGAGGTCACACCACCGTGTGTGATCGGTGACCCAGAACACCTCCATGTTTTGAGTAGCAGGGCAGTGTGCTACAGTCACCCAGGTGGCCAGGATACCAACAGCCACCATTTATCGAGTGGCTGTTGCAGCTTAGCTTATTCTCAGAAGCAGCCTCAGTGCAAGTGCTGTGAAGTGGGGTTTTGTAACCTGGGCACAGCAACCCCACCTTGCTGGTTTGTTGCGGAGAGTGAATGAGACAAAGTACTTCGCTCATAGGATCAGTTCCAGGGTTAAATGAGGTAAATGTGTAAAGCACTTTGAATAGCACCTGGAACACAGCAAATTCTCAGAGATACTACGATAATTATTTAGAAGGGAAAAATACAACGCATAGGGGCTCCGTAAAAGGTAGCTATCGTCATTCTCATCTTCATCATCACTGTTAGGATTAATTAACCCTTCGTTATAGATATAATCAGAGAGGTTACGTACATGCAACGGCCCAGCACTGAGAAGCAGAGCGGGGGTGTGTCCCAGGTCCACTACCCCAGGCAGGACAGCCTGCTTGAGTTCAAAGCTCTCTGCTCTGTTCCCTGCTGCTTGCCTGAGGTTCAGGTGACATGGAAGGGCAGCAGCTTTGAGGAAACTAGAGTCCTGGGTGGGAGCCAGAGCCTGGAGCAAAGAAAGTTGGGTTCAGTTAATAGTCCTAAGAACAAAGCAGGGGCCTAGTTATCGGTACTGGGGTCCAAGGTCACCCGCCGAGCTACTGCTCAGGGCCTTCTTAGAACAGCCCTGAGCTGGGTCTGCTCTGGTGTCAGGGCCCGAGCTGGTGGGTGCATCCCCCAACTGCGGAAAAGAGGAGGGACAGGGAACTGGGCCTCTTAGGCACTGAGAGTTCTATCAGGCAATGGGTACTTTTGTCCCTCTTCATAAGGAGCACTTTGAGCAGTAAGCACTCTGTGATCCCAGGGAGAAGTGGCATGGCCCTGGCCTGTCTTCCAACCCACAGACCAGCTAGGGGAGAGAGGTGACAATACCGATATGCAGTGGGATCGCCAACATGGCCATTCCCCAGTTTTAGGGGGACTGGGGCATCATGGAATGGCCTGGCCGTGAGCATGCTGGACATGTACATTCTGGCCTAGCTTTGCCATCCACCTCCTGTCCAACCTCACTCTTATCCCCACCCCACACCTGGACCTCAGTTTCACCCTCTGTAAAATGGGGTGGCTGGACACACTGATCTCCAGACCCCATCCAGCATTACATATTTACGTTCAGATTGGCGAAGGCCTACAGAAGCGTACAGAAATAAGCTGGTTTTACTGCGTTATTAGGATGATGCTTCTGAGTAGGCAGCATCCAGTCACGTTCCCACATTTCTGCCACTTTCCTTTCGTTCAGCAGGGGTTTGCTGGAGACCAGCTGTGACCTGCCAGAGATACCAGCCCCGTCTGGCGGGCGGCCCTGGGCAGTCCTTCTTGCTGTTCTTTCCCGAGTTTGGGCAGGTTACGGCTGTTAGTGAGCATTTGTTGCCAATGGCCTCGGTCCAGGGTGAGGCCCAGCCCTGCCTTTGACCAGCACCTCTACAGAGCAAGGTCAGGCCTCCTGTGCCTGCACAAATAGAAATTAGGAGGCAATTAGCCCCCCTGGGTGTGTGAATTTCCCTTTGAGGTTTTAGAGACAGATTTTAGGTAAATACAGCGTTACTAACAATAATAACGTTTACCACTGAGATGCTAATGGGAGGTCGCTGGCATCAGATTTCCAGGAAGTGGGGAAGTCAGAGTGCCAGGAAGCAGAGAGGCGTGGGAACAGGCCTGGTGGCACTGGCCTGCTCTGCCATAGCCACCTCCTTGGAGCCCACATGGGGCCGTGAGGTCACCTGTCATCAGGGATTAGACAGATTAGGGTCTGGAATCATGACAGGAGTTTGTCCCTGCAGGTGGCAAGGGTCCAGGGGAAGAGAGCAAAGACAAGGGGTCAAGCCCCCAGAACAACTTTACGACCTTTAATTAGTCACTTCATTTCTCTGAGCCACGTCAAGTCTGCTCTGGCCCATAGAGCTGCAGGGAAGGTAAAATGGGGCAGGCAAGTGAATGCATCGTGAAGAATGCAAAACCCCCTGACATACTTGCTGTCACCCTGACTGCTACACAAGAGAGCCTGGGAGACTTATAAGAGGCATTGAGAGTGATAGAGCAGGGGAGGCGACTTCATGGTCACGCAGCTCCACCACTTATTGGCTATGTGACTTTGGGAAGGTGGCTGACGCTCGCTGAGCCTCAGTGTTTCTATCTGTTAAGGAAGGATAGCAGCAGACCCATCCTCCCCAAAGTGGTATCTGTGAAGAATGGCTGGCTCCTCAGCTCCCCCTGCTGGTGGGCCCGGGTCTCCCTCGATAGCAGTTGTGAATGGTTGAGTCTGGTCCCTCAGCGCCCCCTACTGGACCGTGACGCGCGCGTGCCCGCTCCGCCTTACAGGATCGTGCAGATGCTGCTGCCGGTGACCAGCCGCACGCGCGTGCGCCGGAGCGGCATCAGCCCGCTGCACCTGGCGGCCGAGCGCAACCACGACGAGGTGCTGGAGGCGCTGCTGGGCGCGCGCTTCGACGTGAACGCGCTGCTGGCGCCCGAGCGCGCGCGTCTCTACGAGGACCGTCGGACCTCTGCGCTCTACTTCGCCGTGGTCAACAACAACGCGTACGCCGCCGAACTGCTGCTGCAGGGCGGCGCCGACCCCAACTGCGACGTCATCAACCCCCTGCTCGTGGCCATCCGCCAGGGCTCCCTGCGCATCATGCAGCTGCTGCTGGACCATGGCGCCAACATTGATGCCTACATCGCCACGCACCCCACCTCCTTTCCCGCTACCATCATGTTCTCCATGAAATACCTGTCGCTGCTCAAGTTCCTCATGGACCTCGGTTGCAATGGCGAGCCCTGCTTCTCGTGCATGTACGGCAACGGCCCGCACCCGCCCGCACCCGCCCCTTCCAGCAGGTTCAACCACGTGCCGGCCAGGGACAAGGCGCCCGGCGTGGTCCAGGTAGGGGCGGGGGTGCCTAGGGATCATGGCCAGGGCCAGCATGCATCGGAGGCGGTGTGGACTATGCGGACTGCACTTTCGTGGCTTGGTGCTGATAAGCTTCGGAGGCAGTGTGGTCTATTAGTTAATGTACTTTGGAGGGCGTGTAGACTAGTAGTTAGCACACTTCGGTGGCAGTGGAACCCGGTGGTTAGCCTTCTTTAGAAGCAGCAGAACTTCCTGGTTCACACCACCAATTAAATCCTTTTTCTGGTTCGCTGTCCTGGGGAATTTAAGGAAGGAACAGTGGCACAGGGGGCTGGCGGGGAACGGCACAGATGAGCGGTTCATCACCCCCAGCAAACCTGTGGCTGGAATGGGAGGCTGAATGACCAAGGTGGGAATGGAGGTGAGAGCAGCTTGGTCTAAGCTCAGGTGAGATGCAGTCAGAGCAGGACCTGTCCGTGGTGATGACTTAAGAAGGCAGAACTTAAAATGAAGGTTAGAAACCCCCTTCTCTTGGAGATCATTATAATGGCTAACAGCCATCATTTATGGGCCACCTCCTGTAGGCAAAGAAGGTTATGTTCATATTACCTTAATTCTCATAAGCCCTTGAAGTGGGTATTATATACCCATTTTCTAGACAAGGAAGTTGAGGCTTAGAGAGGTGATGCGACTGGCCCGAGTTCCCCACCTCCCACTTTTGGCAGCAGAGGGAAGGAAACTGGGTGTACCCAGTATCATTCTCCGACATGTCCCCTGCCCTTGCCAGCCTTCGGCTGCCACCCGTAGGATGAGCTCTCGGAGGCAGTGCCCGTGGTCCTGGGTCTCCCATGCTGGCGTGTGCTCTCTTTCAGTTCTGCGAGATCCTGTCTGCCCCTGAGATGAGCCACTGGGCGGGGCCCATCATCGATGTCCTCCTGGACTATGTGGGCAACGTGCAGCTCTGCTCGCGGCTGAAGGAGCACATTGACAGCTACGACGACTGGGCTGTCATCAAGGAGAAGGCAGGTAGGGGCTGTCACTGCTGCGGCTGGCAGGTCTGCCTGCCTGACTCAGGCCCCAGCCTCGGGGCATGTGACTGTTACTACCATCGGACGAGCACCTACTCCATGCCAGGCTCTGGGCTGTGTGTCACAGACAGTGTCTTCGTGACTCTTTGTTCTGTAAATAAGGAGACTGACCCACAGAGAGATGATGTCACCTGGGTCAAGGTCTCACCACTAGTTAGTGTCAGAGCTGAGATTCAAACTCGAGTCCTTCCACTAAGTCTTTCCAGGATGTTTTAAACAGTTCCTGCTCCCTAAGGGATATCGGGATGTTCGGAGGAAGTTGCCCGTGTTTGTGGGCCACGGAGAGGCAATACGGGGAGATCCAGGAAAGAGTGATGACCCAGAGTGTCTCAGACTATAGAGTACATATGAAACACACGGCGTTCTGGTGAAAATGCAGGTGCTGACTCAGCGGGTCTGGGACAGGGCCTGAGAGTCTGCATTTCAGCAGGCCCCTCAGGTGGTGCCAGTGCTCCTGGTCCACAGACTGCAGCTGGTGCAGCACTGGTCTAGGAGGCAGGTCCCCTGAGCCAGGAGGTTGCTAGGTGACCGTAGGCCTCAGCATCCTCATCTGGACAGAGGAGCTTGGGCAGGCTCATGTCCAGCCCCCTTCAGCTCCGCCAGCCTGAGGTGCCTACAGCGGGGGACGGTGTGTTTGGGGTTTGGCCACGGTCCAGCTGCTGTGTGCCGTGTAGATGGGGCAGCTTAGCTAAGCCGGGTTGAGAATCCCTCTTAAGCACCAGGGAGCTCATCCAGGCAGGTGAGATGTCAGAAGCAATGGAACTGTGTGCCTCTGCCAATACTAAGAATCGGGCACCTGCCCAGCGGAGTTCCAGCTGCCCCAGGCTTTCCCTGGCACCGAGGGGCGCAGGCCCATCTCTGGCCAAGTGTTTATCGGTCACGTAGCGCAGAGACTGACATGCAGCAGGTCGTTATCCCACCGCTGCTGCCGTCCTCAGGTGAGACTGCACTGGCTTGTTGCCTGTCCAGGTGCCCCACGTCCCAGTGCCCTGACTCTGACTTGCCAAGTTCCTCCTTGATCCCTGCCCCTTTGAACCTACACCTGCTGTAGGAGATTGCATTTGGACAAGTGCCTGGCAAGCACTTGAATTGAGACCCTTAAAGTGACTGAGCTGGTGACAGGGAGAGGGTGGCATTGGCTTGGGCACAGCCCTGATGCTCCATAGACATTCCTTGAGTTCATGAATAATTGGTTACTGTCACCATGATCCTCCATGGCCACTAGAGGGTGGAGCAGTCCATTCTGAGATGTTGGCCTTGCCCCTCAGAGACCCCTTCTCCTGTCCCCCCTGGGGAAGGCTGATCCCTTACCACTAGATGGCATCCCAGGGAAAAGTGAGCAGAACTCAACATTTAGTGACAGGTAGAACAAATAGTTCTTCACCAAGACCTACTGTGGTTACCTCGAAGCCCACCCACCATCTGCAGAACACTTCCCATGTGCCTTTTCATTCAGTGCTATGATGCTGGCATCATCATTCCTGGGGGAAGGGCAGACAGCGGCTCTGAGAAGTGGCATGAAAAGCCCGGAGCCTCCTGAGCTATCCAGTCGCTCTGTCCTACGTGAGATGGAAAGGCAGCGGAAGTGTCGGAAATGCAGCGGTGGCACATTGTCACCCAGTGAGGCGGCACCAGCTGCCTGGCCTCTGTCCTGCCCTCGCAGTCCCTCTCTATCCCCGTCTTCCCTGGGCGGCCATGGCCTCCTTGGCTTGGCACAGCCATTTCCCCTGCTTGGAATGCCCCTGGCAAATTCCTCCCCACCTGTCAAGGCCCCACTCAGAGGGCAGCGTTGGTGTGAAGGCCTTCGGCAGAGGCCCTGCGCCAGCACCTCTGTGTCTCAGACCTGAACACGGAGCCCGGCACAGTGAAGGGTCAGCATGTGTTTGTTGAATGAATAAATGAAAGGCATTCTTGGATTCAACAAACACCTTCCCTGCGCCAGACCCTGTGCCCAGGGCCGAAATAAATGATTACTAGTCATATCAGTCCCTGTTTCTACCTTCCCACCCCCACCAGCAGAGACAACTCCACTGTGTGAGGTGGCCTCCTAAGGGGCCCCAGCCCCGGGCTTCTCTGTACCACCTGGAGCCCAGAGCTGAGTTCCACACTTGGAGGCGTTTAACAGCCCAGGGCCCTTACCCTGTCGCTAAGGGCTGTGTCGGCGTCCGGGCTGTGTATGTAGAGGAAGGAGCAAATCTTGCAGGTTGTAAATGAGAAAGCAGCGTCTCTCTCTCTCTCTTCTTTCTCCAGAACCTCCAAGACCTCTGGCTCACCTTTGCAGGCTACAAGTTCGAAAGGCCATTGGGAAATACCGTATAAAACTCCTGGACACGTTGCCACTCCCAGGCAGGCTGATTCGATACCTGAAGTACGAGAATACCCAGTAACTGGGGCACGTGGAGAAGGAGTATTCCTCAAACTGTTCCACTAAATCTCAGGATGGCAGTGTCCCCAAATCCAGAGGGACCTGGTGACAAACGAGGCTGTGGGCTGTTCCCACTGAGCTGGGGCAGCTACGGGGACCTCACCAGGACTCTGGGCCAGAGCGGTGTCCAGAGCAGAGAACGGAACATGTCAAGTAGGAAGAAAATCGTGTTTATTCTCGAAAGGAAGAGTAGATCCCAGACCTTCTCTGCCATCAGGAACGGCAGGAACCTCCATTCCTGGGGTGGGGAGGCGGGCAGGGAACAACTCGGGCAGGCCGTGCTGGAGCGCTCCCGGGGGGGAGTCTCTGCCTGGACAACCCTGCACAGCTGGCTCCTGTCCCTGCTCTGCTCTGCGAACCTTTCCACTGGATGTCTGAGCTTCCTCCCCGAAGGTGTGGCCGGGTGGGGGTGGGGAGACCCTCAGTCCCAGACGGCTTCCCTAAGTACAATAAATGTTGCTCAGACGCCCCCTCGCCCAGTGCAGTCCCTCTCACTAGACACCCCCAGGGCCTGGGGTCCTCGGCCCTGCTCGTGGTGGGACTAGGGGTGCAGCAGGGGCTGGGCACAGGACACACAGACCCCTGAACAAGTCACCTTCGCTTAGGCTTTCGAAAGACCACGAGAGTGCATCCTTACCAGAAGATGCCAGCAGCGTGAGGAGAGGGGCAGCCTCCTGTGCTGTGGCCAGAGCCATGGAGGCTGGTTTTCTGCCCTGGTTCAGCACCAGGGATACAGAACTCCTTCACAAACAGAGTCGGTGCCCACAGGTCCCCTGCCGACTGCCATACCCAGACATGTTCCCGGCACTCTGTCTTCATGTCCTGCTCAACCCTGTTCTGCTACAAAAGTTGACATACTAGGGAGGAAAAAATAAAAACACGTTTAAATACTGGCTGCTATGAGCCAAGGTGCTGGATTGACAGTTGCCGTCAACCCTTGCAAAGTCATCAAACTGGAGAGGCACGAAGCCCTGTGGCCTTCGTTGCCTCTCCGGTCCCCATGTGGCTCTGTGGGTGAGCCCAGCGGTGCAGGTGGGAAAGCTGGGTGTCCGCCCAGCCCCGACGCTTCCCTGTCTGAGCGCCCTGCGCTGAGACCAGCATGGCCTCTTTCCACCGGAGTTGCAGTAACTCACCCGTGTTCTCTTCCCGTGTGAGTAAAGCCACGGGAGGGGACACAGCGCAGGCCACCTCGCTGAGAGCTTGTGCCGGGCTGCCCGGGGTCTGGAAGAGTCTTAAGCCAGGTCACACATAGTTTCTGGCCTTTGGAAAGTGAGCGGCTGGGCAGGTGTGGAGAGCCCTGTCCCAGGCCCCGCTCTGCGTTTGGGTCCCCCTCTGGGTTCCTCAGTGCTGCGGCTCCTGGTGGCCTTGCTGGCCCCTGCACACTGGCTTTCCTTAGGACCAGAAAGTCCCAGGTCGGCCTGAAGAGGAACAGTCTTCCAAGCGACACTTTATTTTATTTTTATTGATTTTTTTTTAGAGAAAGAGGAAGGAAGAGAGAGCTAGAAACATCGATGTGAGAGAGAGACATGGATCGGCTGCCTCCTGCATGCCCCCTACTGGGGATGGAGCCTGACACCTAGGCCTGTGCCCTGAGCGGAATCAAACCCAGACTTCTCAGTCCATGGAATGATGCTCAATCCACTGAGCCACACCAGCTGGGCCCAAGCAACACTTCAAAGCCACGGGTCAGAGGGGAATCAGCAGAGCCTTGCCCACTTCTTGATGGTCTGGATGGGAACCAGGCCCGGCGAGGGGAGGAGACATGCCCAGGTACACACTGCAAGCCCCTGGGGCTCCAGCCCGGGAGTGCTTGGCTGCGGCCCCACGCTGCCTTGCTCGCAGCGATCCGGAAGAAATCCCGATGGAAACCTGGTCCGACCAAACTGAGGATGTTCACCCTGATGGGGCAGGGCGCGGGGCAGGCAGCGACGGGGCGGAGCAGAAAGGTGCCCAGCAGCATCTGGGGCAGGGCTGGCTATCAAGGAGACTCTTCATCTATGGCATTTTTCCGGTCACCTTAGGTCCTAGAGAGTCCTAACAGGCAGTGGCCCCAGGCACCCCAGAGTGGTCTGAGTGAGAGGCTCCCTGGGGAAGTTGAGGCTCAGGAAGGTGTGGGAGGGATGGGGGAGGAGAGCTCGGCCACTGTCCATTGGCACCATTTACTTACAGGACGTGGGACCCTGGGCCTGGGATACTCTAGTGCTGCATTTGGGTTCTTGGATTACTTTCTTTTAAATTTTATTTATTGATTTGAGAGAGAGAGAGAGAGAGACATCAATTTGTTGTCTCACTTATTTATGCATTCATTGGTTGATTCTTGTATGTGCCCTGACTGGGGATCGAACTCACAACTTTGGTGTGTCGGGATGATGCTCTAACCAACTGAGCCACCTGGCCAGGGCTGGATTCATGGATTGTTGATGTACACTCGTGTCAGTTGGTCACAGTCACTGGTCAGGACCCCTTTTCTTTCAAGTGCCTTGCCCAGCCTTGACCTTCTCAGGGTCCCACCCCACCTCCCACGACCCAGCAGCTAAAGGGTTAACGCCTGGCCTCCAGCCTGCTCCCGAAGGTCAGGGTCATTCCAATTAGTTGGTGCTCAGGCTGGGCTGTTGGTACATCTTTTGACCATCACTGCTGGATTTTACAGCTATTGCCCTCTGCAGAACCCCACCCCCCATACTCTCCAGCGCCCCGGGAGGATTCCAGCCTCAGAGATGTCTCCACAGCATCACCAAACACTTAAAACCCTGGCGGCAGTTCCAAGTCATGAGCAGGAGCACGCTGGACCTGGTGCCGGGATTTGAGGCTGAGGGTAGCTGAGTCCCTGGGCTTCACCTCGAACCGGCTCAGGTCGCTGTTTGGGCAGGGGAGGCCAGAACGAAGCCTTCCCAGGCCCGTTTCCCCAGGTGGCTCCCTCGTGGGGACTCGAGGTGCTGGATGCGTCTGTTGAGCCACATCTTAGCAGAGGTTTCTGCTCCCAGACGAAGTCTCCCTGCGTCTGAATTAATGCACTTTCAGCTATACCCCCTGGGAGAGACTGAGTGGAGCCCGGCTGTGGGGGCCCAGGCACGTGGGCTCAGCACCCACCCCAAGAAAACATGCTCCACTCATTCTGGGGAGGGGGATTGGATGGCCCAGTCCATAATATATGAAATATCAGTGCTGCAGGACGGAGACACTGCCAGGTAACCAGAGAGGTGGCCTTTGGTTGGTGCAGGTTCTCATCACTTGGGTAGTAGTACTCGGAGTACCAGGCACACACATCATCTCCACAGCAACCCACGAAGCAGGCCTATTTTCAAACACATTTTTCTGATGACATTTTGGCACAGAGAAGTTGAGTAACTTGTCCAAGGTCACACAGCTAGTAGGTGGCAGAGTCCGGATCAGCTCTCTGAACACTGATGTACTGTGTGGAAGGGCTGAGCCTCATCAGAATGGATATGGGGAAGAGGAGGACACATGCCTGTGCCTGGTCTCCTCCCTGCTCTTCAGGACCAGAGCAGCCGGAGGAGAGCGTCCTGGCTGAGGACTCCCTATTCTGTGTGCCAGCTAATTACTCAGAACCACTCTGCCTGAGCCACACAGTCCCTGTGGCGCTGAAGTCCTCCAAGACCGTCGGACATAAGCCACTTCCCAGTGTGCACGCTGCCCGTCCATGTGGATGCGGCCCCCGGGGGAACCCTGGAGTGCAGATGGGCAGGGTGGGAGAGCCCTCAGCAGTCCATCATCCTGGAGCCTCGTGTTAGGGAGGAGTCTGAGGCCTGGTCAAAGTGGAAGGCACCACAGAGGGGACCGTCGTCATCCCACCCCTCATTCCGCAGGCGGGGCAGGGAGGCCCCAGGAAAGGTCCACCCCACATCCCAGGGCAGAGCCTCCACCGCGGCTCCCCAGCCTCCTCCGACTCGAGAACCAGAGCGTCCTGCCCTGGCGGCTGGTCCCCACCCCCCTCCTTTGAATGAGCTGAGGGCCCCCAGGGCTCACTCCCACATCGCAGAGGCCCTGGGGCCACTCCTGGCCTCCCCACGTGGATCACCTCCGGAAGCAGCCCTCCTCCCGGCGGTCAGCATTTCTCAGGCCCGGGCACTATTCAACTTCATGAGACCCAAGGTATGGAAACTGCAAAAGAAATGTCTTTATTCTTTAACCTTCTTAATATTTACAAAGAACAAAAAGAACAAAACTGAGATTGGCGTACACGGCGGGTAGTAGAGTAACAGATGAGTGCCTCGGGCTTCTGGGGTGGCTGGCAGGTCAGGCAATGCCCACCGCCCGAGGTCCCCACGGGACGGTGGGGAGACGGGTCAGGCTCTGGCGTGGCTGGAGAGGGCCCAGCCCGGCCCAGCCCCGCAGCTCCCAGGTCAACTGCCCGAGAAGCCCGTGCCCCATCCCTGCCCTCCCCATCCCACACATACATAAAGGGGAGGCTCTCAAGACGCTTCACCGCTGCCCAGCCCACCCCTCACAACAGAGCTCCTGGGCCCCCAGCCCTCCTGCAGCCCGGAGGTTGGAGCCCAGGCCCCAGAAGCCCAGCTAGAGGTAGCCAAAGATGTTGAAGATGGGTGGGGGCATGGCCGGCTTAGTGGGGATAGGCTTCAGAACCACGGGTCTGTATACTCTCTGCCCTGGGCCCTCCACATCCTTGCAGAAATGGGCCAGCTCCCCAGGGGAAGCTGGGCTTTTCCTCCACAGACCCAGGCTGGGGGCGGGGCCCTGAGGCAGGGCCCCTGGAGGGCCCGGGTAGATGGGCTGTCCATGGTACTGGAAGGGGCAGCAGCTCCAGGCATTGACACGGCCCACAAGGGAGACCCCAGGCATCTTGGGTGGCTCCTTTTCAGCCAGTGCCCTTGGGGACATGGGGACCAGGACCATCTCGGGCCCTAAGAGCTCCAAGCCCTTGCAGTGTTTCTTACCCTCATAGGGAACCCCCTCTCTAGGGCCCAGTACCCCCTCCAGCCCCACGGGGTAGCTGTGGGTGGGCCTCGGCTCTTCCCAGAAGGAAGCGGGCAGCTGTCTTTTCCTCATGGGCACCTGGCCAGGCCTGGCAGCTTCTGGGTGCTGCCCCGGTAGGGTCTGCTCCTTTGAGAGACACTCCTCCCCGGAGGGGTTCCCCAGAGCCTTCTCCTTGCAGTCCCCACCACTGCTAGGGCTGGAGTCAGGGCCGGAGTTGAGGGGCAGCCTAGTGGGGCGGTCCTCAGGCCCCCTTTTCAGGTGAGGCTCAGCCCCTCGGCCGGGGAGCCCCCGCGGCAGCCGGGAGTACTTCTGGGAGAAGCGCTTGAGCTGCTTCTGCAGGTACTTGCGGTGGTCCACTGAGCGGCGGCAGGGCGCAGACTTGTCCAGGGCCGCCTTGATGTCGCTGGACGCCAGGTTCACAAAGTTCAGCAGCATCTTCACGTCACTGTCGGATGCCATCACCAGGGGGGCCACTTCACGGGGCTTTCCATGAAGAGGGTGGTTCTGCTAGTGGTTGGCAGCTCCAGGGAAAGGCACAGAGCTGACCTGGGGGACACACAGACCATTGGAGTCTCTCCCAGCAACCAACTCGGCCCTCCCCAAAGACCACAGGGCTGCAAACAGTGACCCCAGGACCCCTCAGCCCCAGACAGAGCCCTGGGTAGCAGGAATCCCCTTCAAGCCGCGAAGCAGTTCATGAGCATCAGTGATGGAACAGGTCCAAACATATTAGTCTTCTTGGGTCTGTTGCCCTCTACTTGCAGCTGAGGCTCAGAGAGGGCAGGTGACTTGCCCAAGGTGCCCCAGCTGCAAGTGGCAGTGCTGGGGCTGGAGACACGTCTCCTCGCTCCCGGCCCGCTGTGTCCCACACACCAAGCTGCCAACGTGCACACTTGCCAGCAAGGTTTTCTTTTCTGAGCAGAGGTGACCGCTCTACTTTCAAGCCAAGCCAAGCCCCCTCTCTCCCTGGCGGTGCCCTCCCCCTCCCACCCCCGCCCCAGCCCTGCTAGCATCAGCCCCCCTCCTTGGTCCCCATGCTCCACCCCCAGCTCTCACGCAGGACAGGCAGGACCCCTGTCTGGCACTCGAGCGCGCGCAGGCCTGCCTGGCTGGCTGAGCTCAGGCTGTGGCAGCGGGAACACCCCCGTAGAAGCATCTGCAGCAATTTCATGCCTCCTGGGCCACCTCCTACAGCCCCTCGCCCCTCCTCCGGGCCCCGGCCTGCCCCACGCCCCCACCCCGTTGGGCCCAGCCACCTGGGCCTCCACACTGACCGAGGGTGCAAGCCCGGGCCCGCCAACGTGGCCGGGCTGGTTCCCGCCGCAGACCTGGGTCAGGCCCGTGCGGCCGCGAGCTGGAGCGTCCGGCTGGAAGCAGTAGTGCCGCCCTCGAGTGGGCTGAATGGAGGACAAGTCCCCAGAGCTGGGGGGCCCCTCAGGCCAATCAGGAGCGCCTCTCCAGATACAAAGCATCCCAATCAGGCGGCAGCGCCCCGTTCCCACATTCTTTGCCGTCACAAATTGTCACCATGGGGACCATCACAAAAAAGACAGCTCCCAAATGCAATCATTTCCCGGTAAATTTCTACCCTTCAGCCCCACTCTCCCCCTCGGCCTCCACGGCCTCCTCCCCTTGACCTCGGTTCCCTGGTTTCTGGAGGGGGTGGTGTGTGTGTGTGTGTGTGTGTGTGTGTGTGTGTGTGTTTAAAAAGTTCAGGGCTGAGGAGGAGCTGGGCCCAGAAGTGATGGGCTTGCCATCCTCCCCCAAGGCTCCAGGCCTGCAGCTGCCATGCTCCAGTGCAGACAGACAATCAGACGGGTAAGCCGGGCAGGCGGCCTTCCCCGCTGTCCTTGAGTGTTGAGTGTCTCTCTCCTCTCCTCTCTCTCCCCACCCCGCTGCCCGAGGCAGGGGCTGTGGCAGGCTGTGAGGGCCGGCAGCACACTGATGCGGGCGAAGGTAGCCGGGAAGGACTAACGAGGGGCTGGGATATCCATGGGAAGGCAGCCGGAGCCCTCAGGAATCTTGTCTTTATGTTTGCTTCCTCAATTGAGCTGCACAAAGCCTGAATTGCCCATTCAGCGAGGCCGGACAAAAGGTTGGCGTTGCACGGTCCCCTTGCATTTGTAGTCAAACAGTTAGGGACTTAAATCGAGTCGTCATGATGGAGAAAGAGGTGGACAAAGCCCATAGAATTGCCATCAGCAAACATTTTCCTGTGTCATATTAGCCAGTCTCCATGGCTCCCCCTGGCCTGGGGACAATGGCACAAGTTTGCACACTTGGCTACTGTCACCGTGCCAACGCCGGCGGGGCTGCAAGCAGGGCCGCTCTGAGCAAGCGAGGGAGCCCAGAGCCGGCCGTGGGCCCTGCCCACCAACTGGCCGGAGGAAAGGTGAGGCCAGTGGCGGAGGGAGGCAGCCTGGGAAATGCAGATGGGCGAGGCCTCCATGCCAGCCAGCCTGGGGGCCCCTGTGCCTCCTGTCTGTCCCCGCTCCTCTCCTCTTTTCTCTGCCACTTCCTCCTGTCCCCTGGTTGGCTGAATGGCCGAAGGTCTCTATACCAACCCACCTTTGCACCAAAACCGGAAATGCCAGGGGCTCCTCCCTACAGTCCCCTCCCAGACGAGGAACACTGACAGGGCGGGGCCAGGCGTCACCCGGGAGTGATGGTTCCACGCCCCCCGCTGGCCAGTAGACAGCTGCTACCACAGGAGATGCCCGCCCACAGTGGCATGGCTCCAAGCCACCTCCCCCTCTGGCCGAAGGATCCCCACAGGCAAAATGAAGGGTTTGGCAGAGAGAGCCCCTTGTGAGGGGTGGGGTGTCATTCTCCAGGCCCCCCTCCCCTGCTGTGGTGCTCAAGGGTGGGGGGGGGGGTATGGACTGAGACAGAGGTGACCTTGGACTGGAGCATCCTGAGTCACTGGCCGCCACATGACCTGGAGAGTGTGAGCCCTATTTGCAGCAGCCTTTGCATGGATGACAGCTAAACCACCATCGTTTCAAGCCCGAGTTTTGGGGGTTAGTTGTTTCTGCAGCATAACCCAGCCCACCCTGACCGGTACAAGCAGGAAATATCCTTCCTGCTCCAAACCATCCTGCACCCAGGGCTGGAGAAAGTGTCCGAGGTCATCCGGTTGGGCTCATGTAACTCCTATCACAACTCCGGTGGCCTCCTGTGTGGGGGCCCGGGCACACGGCCTGGCGCGTTCACATCCCTCCACAGCCGGCGCCAGCCCACTCAACCACCTTCTCCATTGTTTTCTGTTGGGAGACTGGCCCCAAACCATCCCGGCCCCATTCCCACCCTGGCCGCCTCCACGTCCTGGGTCTGCTCCTGCTGGTCCCTCTCTCCGGAGCACTTTCCCCTCCAGAGAGCATCAGGACTTCCTTCCTTACACCTCCGCGGGGTCAGCTTCCTGGCAGATTCAGGCACCTGCAGCCACGGCAGCCCATCCCGCCACTGCCTGCTTGGGATGTCGCCCCCAGGTTTCGAAGCCAGTGACGCCACCCCCAACAGATCGGTGAGCTCTGTGGGAGTCACGTCTGTATCTTAAAAATTCTTCCCATAGCTTTTAACACGGGCTGTTTTTCCCATGTGTTCTTCCCACTTTTTGAGGACAAAAGAAGAGGGAAGGAGGAAGAAAGGGCAGAGAAAACAGAATGAATTAATTGATACTTGTTGGGCACCTAATATGCGCCAACACCATAACCCACGATGGCACAGGGAAGACCTCATCTGACCCCGTGAGGGTGAGCTTGTCGCCTCCTACAGTGAGGAATGTGCGGTGGAAGTCGCTTCCCCGAGGGTCACAGCTAATGACTGGTAGAACTTGGATTTGATGCCTGGCCTGTCTGCAGGCAAAGCCCTTGTCGCCACCAGCGCCACACCACTTCCCCAAGCTCCTCCCGAGCTCCTCCCGAGCACCAGGCGCAGATGAATGGCCTCAGAGACCACACTTTTTACACAAGTCCTGGATCCAGCTCTTCTGCCCCTCTGTCAGATCACGACTGTCTTCCGACTTCCAGGAGTATGGGTGGGTGTGGCTGGGGGAGACCAGTCCAGGGGAGGGGAGGGAGCTGTGGCTTGAAGAACTGTGGCCCGAGAACCTGATCCAGGGTCCTGCACTGACCCAGCCACAGCCCAGGCCTCAGGCCAGCCCTCTGGGGGAGGCTGCTCTGTGTTTTCCTGAGAGGCCATGCTGACAGGCGAAAACAGTAATAATACTTGTGCCTCAACTCTCCAGAGCTGTTTCACAGTCACTCGTTATGGTTCTGTGTCTGGGCAGGGAGGGAATTGTTTTTCTTATTTACAGTTGGTGACACACCCAAAAACAAGCCTCAAACCTCTAATTCTTGGGCCCAACTCAGGGCTGTTCAGCCAATCCTGTCCTCTGAACATTCTTTAATGTCCAGCTCAAGCAGCTAGGAAGACTTCCAACTCCAGCACTACGCATGACACCCTGTCCCAGCCCCATGTTTCGAGAGTCAAAGAAAAAGTCTAACCTCCTTTACTTAATACAGAAGGCCCTTTGTAATCTGACCCTTACACAAAGTGGCTTCTCACTAAATGCTTCATGAGTTGAGTACTTTGCCTACTCCGCTGAATATAATTTTTCCTGTGGACTGGAAACAACTGTTCCTTGCCTTCTTTTTCATTTATTGTTTGCCCCACCCACCTGTGTGAGCTCCTTGAGGGCAGGGAGTTGGCTGATTCATCTCTGTATTTCCAGTGAATAGAATGCCCTTGGCACAGAGCAGGCCTTAATGAAGGACCCTTGTGGTTGCTATGGTTGCACTTGATGGCAAATCGTCTGCCTCTTTGGGACTGCCGGTGCCTTGCATGCAGAAAGCACGGTGTCACAACTGCGTCCCCTGCACCAGACCAGGGGGCCTGGAAAGTCCCATTAATGGCTAATGAGCTGTGCTGACTTGAACTTGAGGGTCCCTGCCCCAGTCGGTTGTTGCTGCCTGCTCAGGGATCTCCTACATTCCAGCCGCAAGTTTTTCACCACATTCAGCATCAGGGACACCCAGTTCCAGTCAACTCCATTCAGCACCCCTGTGTGTCAGGGACCGGGGGTGCAGGGTGGGCTCACATGGCTGCTCCTCTGTCCCTGAGGTGACTTGTTAGAGGGGAGATTGGCTTTGTCTTGATGACTCACAGCCATTTCTGCCCACCCCTGGGTGAGACAGACCACGGAGCCCGACTTTCCTTGGTTTCAGAAACAAACTACTGGGAGCCAACCCATCCAGACTCTCTGGGTGTCACCTGACTTAATCCACACTGAGGATTTAGCCAACACGGGTGCAGGTGGAAACTGAAAGGGAGGGGGGCAGTTGACTAATAACACCCCCTGGTCAAGCCCCGGGGGCTGGGGAGGTCATCCAGAGTGGCAGGCTTTCAAATTACCTTCGTGCTGAGAAGCCCACCGTGTAAAATAGGGACAGCCTCGTGCTGCGAGTACAGGCTTATTTCACGCACACACAAGCACTTTCCAGTTATTCTGCAAACGGATTGAGACGAGGACGCTGTTTTGATGACACAGAACTTGGAAATCAGGGGTTATGGGTCATGGTCTGTCATCTGCCATCCTTTGCTTTGGTGGCAGGACACTTAGCAGATCTTGGTTTACAGAAGTACGCAGCTAAAACGGTCACTTTTCAAAGCCTGTCCTGCAATCTCAGGGTAGTCACCAAACGGCTACCCGACACTCACCATTTGATCGAAGTCCGTAACATGTATTGAGTCATTTGTTCTTCCCAGGTGCCATCTTACTGTCTTTAATGGATCAGGAAACTGAGGCACAAAGCTAGGAAACTTGCCCAAGGCCCCTGATCAGTAAATGACAGAGCTGGGACTGGGGTGCCGGCGGCCTGAGCCAGACCCTCCGTCGTGACCACTGCAGGTTGCTGTCGCCTCCCCACACCTCTTCACCAGCCCTCCCTCCCTCCCAGGACTCTGCCAGCCCAGACATGCAGAAGTGCCCGGCCGCCTGCGCCAGCAGAGTCAGGTCCGACCCCAGACTGAGAAAACAGGCACGGGGAACACAACAGCCTGACCACGTGCCTCCGTGGACGGGTGACGCAGACATCCCAGGATGATTTATGTCACTGACCCCCTTACATAATGGGCGTGTTTCGATCAAAGGCCAGCCCCAGGCATGCTGTCAGCTGTAATCA